ATAAGTCACCATCCCAGGTAACTATAGGAGACCGAGAAGGTTGGATGAGTCACCAGCCCAGGTAAGTTTTTTTTATCTCACTCTAGTACACAATGCTAGCAGGGGAAAATAGCACCTCATTAGCGCTACTAATTTGATCAAAATTGTAATTAATTCATAAAAAATTAATTAGGCAAACAAATTTTATGTCATGTTGCATTGTCTTCACATGTCTTAACCCACGTACCAACTACGAACCGAATCTGTCAGTTTCGGACACTTCTAACTGACAGATACGGTTCGTAGTTGGAACGTGGGTCAAGACAGGAAGACAATGCATCGTGACGTTAAATTTGACTTAATTGGATGCCTTATTAATTTTTTATGAATTAATTAAAATTTTGACCAAATTAGTAGGCAGTTCTATCCAAATACTTCACACGCGTTATCACGTTCAATAGGCGCGCAATGGTTTTTAGTCATGTAAAACATGTAAAATACTTAATTTTTTTTCCCCATAAAAAACGTTTTAATAACAAGCATTTATGTAATAATGCACTAAAAAGTAGATAATAAATTATACACTACTATTTAAATAACTATAAAGAAAATTAGTAAAGGTATCCAATAGATACTAAAGTGGCCCACGCTTTTCTTTATAGTAATTTAAATAGTAGTGTATAATTTATTTTCTACTTTTTAGTGCATTATTACATAAAAGCTTGTTATTCAAACGTTGTTTTTTTTTATGAATTTTTTTTTAAAGTAATTTTATTACTTTTGGCCGAGAAAATTGTATACATAACATACGTCTTGATAAGTAGATCTATAGATCTAAATCAAATTTTGAATGAAATAGTTAATTTCTTCATATTCTAAAATTGGAAGATGACGCCATTAGTTTTGTGAACTTTCCATAGTTTAAACATGTGACACGTGACGTCATTGTTTTTTTTTTTTTTTTTTGCGTTCTTGTCACAACAATAAACTCTTTTCCGGTTGCTATTAAAAATGTGTTTCTACATTATAATATGCCTTTATTTTTATTTTCCTTCTTTAAATAAAATTTAGGTTATACATTTAAAACATCCAACATATTATTTTCAACTAAAGTCCGTATCCTTAAGTTCTCCATATATCGCTGAATATAGTGATCACATAACCTCAAAAATGTTGCGTACAGAGAGAGAGAGAGAGAGAGAGAGAGAGAGAGAAGTACGCACATGGGCTTTTATATATTAGGATATATTGAAAGAAACTCATTTATTTTCTACTTTTTAGTGCATTAGTACATAAAAGCTTGTTATTAAAACGTTTTTTATGAATTTTTACTTTGTCGTATATACGAAGTATAGAGAAAGTCTTGTAATCGTGCACAAAAATCACATTAATTTTGACAGTTTTCACCGTTTTACTCAGTCCTTCATCACATCCGGGATGTAGAGGACTTATTTTAATCGGTCAAAAATTACAAATCCAGATATATCAAAATTTTGGCGTTTTATGCGTAATGGAGTCGGAAAAACTGGATTGTCCCATTCTGTCCGTATGTCTGCGTGGGGAACAGGGCATTTCCCCCCTGTCAATTACCCCCCGGATATTCCCCCCCCCTGTCAATTACCCCCCTGTCTATTAACCCCCGCCCAGTAGGACATTACCCCCCCCCCCCGGACAGGGTTAGAGTTAGGGTTAGGTTTAGGGCTAGGTTTAGGGTTAGGTTTAGGGCTAGGGTTAGGGTTAGTGTTAGGGTTAGGGTTAGAGTTTGTGTTAGGGGTAGGGTTGTGTCTATCTTTGGTTTTGGTTTTGTGTGAAGTTTTAGGCTAAGGTGGATGCTTAGGTTTTGGTCTTTTTCTTAAGGTTTGGATTAAAGTAGTATATAGGTATAAAATTCTAGTTAGAGTTAGGATTTTAACTAAAGAGTGTGTGTGTGGGGGGGGGGGGGTAATTCCCCGGGGGGGGGGGGGGGGAAATATCCAGGGGGTAATGTCCTGTAGCCGTCTGTGTGTAAACACGATAACTTGAGTACCGTTACAGCTAGGTTGATGAAATTTCATATAAAAGTATTATATCAAAATCGTAGATCCGTATCAACTTTTGAGCGATTTCCGATAACCGGAAGTGGAACTTTTTCTACTTTGAATTTTTCAAAAGCCTATAACTTGAGTACTATTTCAGATAGATAATTAAAATTTCACATGTAAGTAAAAGATCTAATTCTCTGCCTTGTATAAAATTTTGAGTAATTTCCGTTGACCGGAAGTAATAATTTTCGCTATTTCCGATTTCTCAAAAAAAACTCATGTGAATTTATAAAGTATAAACGAAGGTCTGACCGTCTATTAGATTTGACTTGCTCACTTTTAAATTGGCATTTATCTTATACTTGTTTAAAATTTAGTCTAAAGCTTCCTCTGCTACAGCTAGATGCTGCTAATTAACAATTATAAATAAAATTGCTGTTGGAAACAATCTGCAACCTTGGCTGGTAATTAAAGTAATTACACTTTACGTTTCTCCACTAACTCTAATTCAATAGTAATTAACTTTAATTGTCAGTTAATTATTTTTCCTTCAAAAGTAATTTGTCTTTTTGCATCTTTGTTTTACAAAGATCCATAAAAAAGGTTGGACAGATGAGTTGCTTTTGACAGCAATATTTAAAAAAACAGCCCATACCTGGTATATGTATTTGTATCTCAACGGGTGGATATCTTTGAGACTAGATGTTAGGAGTCGTTATGATTGTAGACTAATGGTCGGGGTTGAGATTGTTGTATACTAGCGTTCAGGGGTCGTGATGATTGTACACTAATGATCGGGGTTGAGATTGTTGTAGACTAGCGTTCAGGGGTCGTGATGATTGTAGACTAATGATCGGGGTTGAGATTGTTTTAGACTAGCGGTCGGTTGTCGTGATGATTGTAGACTAATGGTCGGGGTTGAGATTGTTGTAGACTAGCGTTCAGGGGTCGTGATGATTGTAGACTAATGGTCGGGGTTGAGATTGTTGTAGACTAGCGGTCGGTGGTCGTGATGATTGTAGACTGATGGCCGAGGTTGAGAATGTTGTTTAGGGGTCGTGATGATTTTAAACTAGCGGTCGGTGGGCTTGATGGTTATAGACTAAAAAAATATTTTTTAAACTCCCAACAACTCTGTTGATTTAATTTCTTTTTGGCGTTATTCATTCTTAAGCCTTGTCGCCGCCCCCCCCCCCACCCCACCCCATCACCCCGTCCTTTCCAGGTTTTGTCTGTAGCCAGCACCTTTCCTTCCATCTCTCTCCTCCACATTCCCAGTGGTCTTCTCCTTTCCAAGTCAAGTCCGAATCAGTGCCATTGACGGGAGCCTTCAGTGACTTTCGCCGGGCTTGACCGAGCCATCTTGTCCCTGTACCGCAAACACTATCAGCCCGGTCATCTTGCCGTTTCATTTTATCATCAGCTTGGTTCCATACACTGTTCAATTTAGTATGGTCTATTGGTCCTGGAGTCAGCTGTTTTCATCCCCCACAAACACTATCAGCCCGGTCATCTTCCCGTTTCATTTTATCATCAGCTCGGTTCCATACACTGTTCCATTTAGTATGGTCTATTGCTCCTGGAGCCTGCTTTTTCCATCCCCAACAGACCGCCTTTCGTGGCGTCATCTATAGATGGCTTCTTATGAAATTTAGTATTTTTTAATCTTATTATCAGGCTTCTACATCAAATCGAAGCTATAATGGGTCATTCTTGTTTTAATATTTGAATTATAAGTCAAGCAATGATAATTATAAAGCCCATCATGCAATGTTTACCAAACAAATACTTGTGAATTCCGTCAGCAGTTGGTGTGATCTCTTCCAGCCACTCGGACATGCTTGGTGGAGGACTTTTCAGTCTGCAAAACTTGATCCAGCTGAATCTCCCCCTGTTGATTATGGCTATTGATTTCAGTGACTGGCTAACTATTGATTTGCTTGTTTAACCTGGATTGTAAATCTGGCCAAGTTGCTCACCTTTACCTGTCTCCGTCAACCCTCTCCACGCTGCTTTAGGTCAGACCGACCTACACGACTGCCTCTCATTGATGAATGTTCGAACTTAAAAACCTCCAGATAACCATAATAACTGGGACCTAGGCTACTGAAGCTCATCACACAGGATACATTATGGATCCATCAGTGTGACCTAGTGATACGTGCCTTGAGTCTGTGTATTAGGTGGATGTTGATATTCTGTATAATATGTTTGAAGTATAGGATGGTGATGGGTAAGATGTGGATATTGATGTGTAAGATGTGGATATTGATGTGTAAGATGTGGATATTGATATGTAAGATGTGGATATTAATGCGTAAGATATGGATGGTGATGTATAAGATGTAATTGTTGATGTGTAAGATGTGGATGGTGATGTGTAGGATGTGGATATTGATATGTAAGATGTGGATATTGATGTGTAAGATATGGATGGTGATGTATAAGTATAAGATGTAATTGTTGATGTGTAAGATGTGGATGGTGATGTATAAGATGTGGATGGTGATATATAAGATGTGGATGTTGATGTGTAAGATATGGATGGTGATGTGTAAGATGTGGATGGTGATGTATAAGATGTGGATGTTGATTTATCAGATGTGGATGTTGATGTAAGAGATGTGATGTTGATATGTAAGATAATAATGTTTGTGATGAGGATGTTGATGTATTAGGTGTCAATGTTTTATAAGATATGGATTTGCAATAATTTACAATATATAAATGTAGTTGTTGATTGAGGTTAAACGAGACATCTTAGTTTTAGCCTATTTGTAAACTGAAAAGATGTTTCACTTAACTGTTGCTGCTCTACTTTCACATACATACACAGCAACAGAAACGAGCTTTATAAAACAATGCGTATAAAATCTGCTCCAAGCATTTGATCACACTGTTTTGGTGCTGTTTTATTCTTATAGGAACAGATTTAGGTGTGGCCTAGCTACAAAAAAGGCATTAGCTTTTGATTAACTAAATGTTTTTTTTTCTAACCAGAGCCTGATTGATGTCTCACTAATTACTCCAATACAAGACCCATCTGTCTACAGATTTCCTCTAGACCTGGTCTCAGACTTGCTCCAACAGGTGAGTACACAGCAGCTAATGATACCTTCTCTAGTCCACCTTCTAGCTAGGGACCAGGCAGTCAGCAACTGTACAAATACAGCAGCTAATGATACCTTCTCTAGTCCACCTTCTAGCTAGGGACCAGGCAGTCAGCAACTGTACAAATACAGCAGCTAATGATACCTTCTCTAGTCCACCTTCTAGCTAGGGACCAGGCAGTCAGCAACAGTACAAATACAGCAGCTAATGATACCTTCTCTAGTCCACCTTCTAGCTAGGGACCAGGCAGTCAGCAACTGTACAAATACAGCAGCTAATGATACCTTCTCTAGTCCACCTTCTAGCTAGGGACCAGGCAGTCAGCAACTGTACAAATACAGCAGCTAATGATACCTTCTCTAGTCCACCTTCTAGCTAGGGACCAGGCAGTCAGCAACAGGATGAAGAATGAAACATTCTCTAGTCCACCTTCTAGCTAGGGACCAGGGTTTTCTTTCCTCTACCGATGTCTTTCACCATCTGATCAGAGACCGCCTTGCCTCTAGAACTAGTGATGTTCTGGTGAACAGGCGCACGATCTAACGTTTTAGACGCCATGGCTTAACGTTTAAATAAAGCAAGCAGCCATTAGCACCCGACTAAAGCAAGCAGTCATTAGCACCCGACTAAAGCAAGCAGTCATTAGCACCCGACTAAAGCAAGCAGTCATTAGCACCCGACTAAAGCAAGCAGCCATTAGCACCCGACTAAAGCAAGCAGTCATTAGCACCCGACTAAAGCAAGCAGTCATTAGCACCCGACTAAAGCAAGCAGCCATTAGCACCCGACTAAAGCAAGCAGTCATTAGCACCCGACTAAAGCAAGCAGTCATTAGCACCCGACTAAAGCAAGCAGTCATTAGCACCCGACTAAAGCAAGCAGTCATTAGTACCCGACGAAAGCAAGCAGTCATTAGCACCCGACTAAAGCAAGCAGTCATTAGCACCCGACTAAAGCAAGCTGTCATTACTAAAAGTAACAGCAATGCCGACAAAAGCCCTAACGTCCAAGCTAGTGAGCGGTGGACGAGCGTGTTTGTCCCCCGTGGGTCCACCGTGATCTGGCGACACGTCGATGTGGAACCATCGTCCCCTCTCCTCTTCCCATGAAAAAGATCGGCTCGCCACCCTCTAACCAAAACGCAAACATGGAGGTGTGTGTAACCGGGATGAGGGTGGATGTAGATGGAGAAAATCAATAACTCTCTGTACCCCGACATCACAACTAGTCACTGGCGCCAGTGGACACTCAGTCCACTGGAGTCCGCTAGGCCGAGCCAGCCGTCAGGATGCAGAAAGTAAGGTTTCTTTCATCTTTCCTTTAGCTCCTCTCGCCTTCATGCATGCTTCGTTGTGTGGCTAGGTTCCATCACTGTCCATTAGCATAAGGCACTGGACATGTTCTTAGGCGACTGTCAACAGACGGATTGCCACTGAAATGACAGTATTCGGCATCCGCCTACTCTGTTCTGTTTTATAATCTAAATTGATAGTCTGTATCTGTTTGAATAGTTTCAATAGCTTGGCACCCACCGTGTGATTCGTCAAACACCCACACCACTGGTCAGTGTTAGAACAACACTGGTGCTCCTGTGTGTGTCAAGTGGGATGCTGGTCCTATTTCAATCTGGACTTAAATAAGCTCAAGGAATGTTTGTTAGTTCGTTTATTGATCTGTGTATTTGTTGAATGTACTCATGAACAGAGGAGTAGGTCATGTCTTTCGCTCGTTAAACACATCTCGTAGGTCATGTCTGTCTCTCCTTTATTAAATCTGTTGGTGAACTGGGGATTAGGTTATGTATGTCTTTATTAATTGGCGATTGGGATTAGGTCATATCTATCTACCAATTAACAAACGAGTAGGTCCTGTCCACTTTTTTCTTGTAGGTCATGTCCATCTCTAACCAAACCTCTCATCATCTTGTAGGTCATGTCCATCTCTAACCAAACCTCTCATCTTGTAGGTCATGTCCATCTCTAACCAAACCTCTCATCATCTTGTAGGTCATGTCCATCTCTAACCAAACCTCTCATCATCTTGTAGGTCATGTCCATCTCTAACCAAACCTCTCATCATCTTGTAGGTCATGTCCATCTCTAACCAAACCTCTCATCATCTTGTAGGTCATGTCCATCTCTAACCAAACCTCTCATCATCTTGTAGGTCATGTCCATCTCTAACCAAACCTCTCATCATCTTGTAGGTCATGTCCATCTCTAACCAAACCTCTCATCATCTTGTAGGTCATGTCCATCTCTAACCAAACCTCTCATCTTGTAGGTCATGTCCATCTCTAACCAAACCTCTCATCTTGTAGGTCATGTCCATCTCTAACCAAACCTCTCATCATCTTGTAGGTCATGTCCATCTCTAACCAAACCTCTCATCATCTTGTAGGTCATGTCCATCTCTAACCAAACCTCTCATCATCTTGTAGGTCATGTCCATCTCTAACCAAACCTCTCATCATCTTGTAGGTCATGTCCATCTCTAACCAAACCTCTCATCATTTTGTAGGTCATGTCCATCTCTAACCAAACCTCTGATCTTGTAGGTCATGGCTATCTCTAACCAAACCTCTCATCATCTTGTAGGTCATGTCCATCTCTAACCAAACCTCTCATCATCTTGTAGGTCATGTCCATCTCTAACCAAACCTCTCATCTTGTAGGTCATGTCCATCTCTAACCAAACCTCTCATCATTTTGTAGGTCATGTCCATCTCTAACCAAACCTCTCATCATCTTGTAGGTCATGTCCATCTCTAACCAAACCTCTCATCATTTTGTAGGTCATGTCCATCTCTAACCAAACCTCTGATCTTGTAGGTCATGCCCATCTCTAACCAAACCTCTCATCATCTTGTAGGTCATGGCTATCTCTAACCAAACCTCTCATCATCTTGTAGGTCATGTCCATCTCTAACCAAACCTCTCATCATCTTGTAGGTCATGTCCATCTCTAACCAAACCTCTGATCTTGTAGGTCATGGCTATCTCTAACCAAACCTCTCATCATCTTGTAGGTCATGTCCATCTCTAACCAAACCTCTCATCATCTTGTAGGTCATGTCCATCTCTAACCAAACCTCTCATCTTGTAGGTCATGTCCATCTCTAACCGAACCTCTCATCATTTTGTAGGTCATGTCCATCTCTAACCAAACCTCTCATCATCTTGTAGGTCATGTCCATCTCTAACCAAACCTCTCATCATTTTGTAGGTCATGTCCATCTCTAACCAAACCTCTGATCTTGTAGGTCATGCCCATCTCTAACCAAACCTCTCATCATCTTGTAGGTCATGTCCATCTCTAACCAAACCTCTCATCATCTTGTAGGTCATGTCCATCTCTAACCAAACCTCTCATCATTTTGTAGGTCATGTCCATCTCTAACCAAACCTCTGATCTTGTAGGTCATGGCTATCTCTAACCAAACCTCTCATCATCTTGTAGGTCATGTCCATCTCTAACCAAACCTCTCATCATCTTGTAGGTCATGTCCATCTCTAACCAAACCTCTCATCTTGTAGGTCATGTCCATCTCTAACCGAACCTCTCATCATCTTGTAGGTCATGTCCTTCTCTAACCAAACCTCTCACTCTCATCATCTTGTAGGTCATGTCCATCTCTAACCAAACCTCTCATCATCTTGTAGGTCATGTCCATCTCTAACCAAACCTCTCATCATCTTGTAGGTCATGTCCATCTCTAACCAAACCTCTCATCATCTTGTAGGTCATGTCCATCTCTAACCGAACCTCTCATCATCTTGTAGGTCATGTCCATCTCTAACCAAACCTCTCATCATCTTGTAGGTCATGTCCATCTCTAACCAAACCTCTCATCATCTTGTAGGTCATGTCCATCTCTAACCAAACCTCTCATCTTGTAGGTCATGTCCATCTCTAACCAAACCTCTCATCATTTTGTAGGTCATGTCCATCTCTAACCAAACCTCTGATCTTGTAGGTCATGGCTATCTCTAACCAAACCTCTCATCATCTTGTAGGTCATGTCCATCTCTAACCAAACCTCTCATCATCTTGTAGGTCATGTCCATCTCTAACCAAACCTCTCATCTTGTAGGTCATGTCCATCTCTAACCAAACCTCTCATCTTGTAGGTCATGTCCATCTCTAACCAAACCTCTCATCATCTTGTAGGTCATGTCCATCTCTAACCAAACCTCTCATCATCTTGTAGGTCATGTCCATCTCTAACCAAACCTCTCATCATCTTGTAGGTCATGTCCATCTCTAACCAAACCTCTCATCATCTTGTAGGTCATGTCCATCTCTAACCAAACCTCTCATCATTTTGTAGGTCATGTCCATCTCTAACCAAACCTCTGATCTTGTAGGTCATGGCTATCTCTAACCAAACCTCTCATCATCTTGTAGGTCATGTCCATCTCTAACCAAACCTCTCATCATCTTGTAGGTCATGTCCATCTCTAACCAAACCTCTCATCTTGTAGGTCATGTCCATCTCTAACCGAACCTCTCATCATCTTGTAGGTCATGTCCATCTCTAACCAAACCTCTCATCATTTTGTAGGTCATGTCCATCTCTAACCAAACCTCTCATCATCTTGTAGGTCATGTCCATCTCTAACCAAACCTCTCATCATTTTGTAGGTCATGTCCATCTCTAACCAAACCTCTGATCTTGTAGGTCATGCCCATCTCTAACCAAACCTCTCATCATCTTGTAGGTCATGGCTATCTCTAACCAAACCTCTCATCATCTTGTAGGTCATGTCCATCTCTAACCAAACCTCTCATCATCTTGTAGGTCATGTCCATCTCTAACCAAACCTCTGATCTTGTAGGTCATGGCTATCTCTAACCAAACCTCTCATCATCTTGTAGGTCATGTCCATCTCTAACCAAACCTCTCATCATCTTGTAGGTCATGTCCATCTCTAACCAAACCTCTCATCTTGTAGGTCATGTCCATCTCTAACCGAACCTCTCATCATTTTGTAGGTCATGTCCATCTCTAACCAAACCTCTCATCATCTTGTAGGTCATGTCCATCTCTAACCAAACCTCTCATCATTTTGTAGGTCATGTCCATCTCTAACCAAACCTCTGATCTTGTAGGTCATGCCCATCTCTAACCAAACCTCTCATCATCTTGTAGGTCATGTCCATCTCTAACCAAACCTCTCATCATCTTGTAGGTCATGTCCATCTCTAACCAAACCTCTCATCATTTTGTAGGTCATGTCCATCTCTAACCAAACCTCTGATCTTGTAGGTCATGGCTATCTCTAACCAAACCTCTCATCATCTTGTAGGTCATGTCCATCTCTAACCAAACCTCTCATCATCTTGTAGGTCATGTCCATCTCTAACCAAACCTCTCATCTTGTAGGTCATGTCCATCTCTAACCGAACCTCTCATTATCTTGTAGGTCATGTCCTTCTCTAACCAAACCTCTCACTCTCATCATCTTGTAGGTCATGTCCATCTCTAACCAAACCTCTCATCATCTTGTAGGTCATGTCCATCTCTAACCAAACCTCTCATCATCTTGTAGGTCATGTCCATCTCTAACCAAACCTCTCATCATCTTGTAGGTCATGTCCATCTCTAACCAAACCTCTCATCATCTTGTAGGTCATGTCCATCTCTAACCAAACCTCTCATCATCTTGTAGGTCATGTCCATCTCTAACCAAACCTCTCATCATCTTGTAGGTCATGTCCATCTCTAACCAAACCTCTCATCTTGTAGGTCATGTCCATCTCTAACCAAACCTCTCATCATTTTGTAGGTCATGTCCATCTCTAACCAAACCTCTGATCTTGTAGGTCATGGCTATCTCTAACCAAACCTCTCATCATCTTGTAGGTCATGTCCATCTCTAACCAAACCTCTCATCATCTTGTAGGTCATGTCCATCTCTAACCAAACCTCTCATCTTGTAGGTCATGTCCATCTCTAACCAAACCTCTCATCATCTTGTAGGTCATGTCCATCTCTAACCAAACCTCTGATCTTGTAGGTCATGTCCATCTCTAACCAAACCTCTCATCATCTTGTAGGTCATGTCCATCTCTAACCAAACCTCTGATCTTGTAGGTCATGGCTATCTCTAACCAAACCTCTCATCATCTTGTAGGTCATGTCCATCTCTAACCGAACCTCTCATCATTTTGTAGGTCATGTCCATCTCTAACCAAACCTCTCATCATCTTGTAGGTCATGTCCATCTCTAACCAAACCTCTCATCATTTTGTAGGTCATGTCCATCTCTAACCAAACCTCTGATCTTGTAGGTCATGCCCATTTCTAACCAAACCTCTCATCATCTTGTAGGTCATGGCTATCTCTAACCAAACCTCTCATCATCTTGTAGGTCATGTCCATCTCTAACCAAACCTCTCATCATTTTGTAGGTCATGTCCATCTCTAACCAAACCTCTGATCTTGTAGGTCATGGCTATCTCTAACCAAACCTCTCATCATCTTGTAGGTCATGTCCATCTCTAACCAAACCTCTCATCATCTTGTAGGTCATGTCCATCTCTAACCAAACCTCTCATCTTGTAGGTCATGTCCATCTCTAACCGAACCTCTCATCATTTTGTAGGTCATGTCCATCTCTAACCGAACCTCTCATCTTGTAGGTCATGTCCATCTCTAACCAAACCTCTGATCTTGTAGGTCATGGCTATCTCTAACCAAACCTCTCATCATCTTGTAGGTCATGTCCATCTCTAACCAAACCTCTCATCATCTTGTAGGTCATGTCCATCTCTAACCGAACCTCTCATCTTGTAGGTCATGTCCATCTCTAACCAAACCTCTCATCATCTTGTAGGTCATGTCCATCTCTAACCAAACCTCTCATCATCTTGTAGGTCATGTCCATCTCTAACCAAACCTCTCATCATCTTGTAGGTCATGTCCATCTCTAACCAAACCTCTCATCATCTTGTAGGTCATGTCCATCTCTAACCAAACCTCTCATCATCTTGTAGGTCATGTCCATCTCTAACCAAACCTCTCATCATCTTGTAGGTCATGTCCATCTCTAACCAAACCTCTCATCATCTTGTAGGTCATGTCCATCTCTAACCAAACCTCTCATCTTGTAGGTCATGTCCATCTCTAACCAAACCTCTCATCATCTTGTAGGTCATGTCCATCTCTAACCAAACCTCTCATCATCTTGTAGGTCATGTCCATCTCTAACCAAACCTCTCATCATCTTGTAGGTCATGTCCATCTCTAACCAAACCTCTCATCATCTTGTAGGTCATGTCCATCTCTAACCAAACCTCTCATCATCTTGTAGGTCATGTCCATCTCTAACCAAACCTCTCACCTTGTAGGTCATGTCCATCTCTAACCAAACCTCTCATCATCTTGTAGGTCATGTCCATCTCTAACCAAACCTCTCATCATCTTGTAGGTCATGTCCATCTCTAACCAAACCTCTCATCATCTTGTAGGTCATGTCCATCTCTAACCAAACCTCTCATCATCTTGTAGGTCATGTCCATCTCTAACCAAACCTCTCATCTTGTAGGTCATGTCCATCTCTAACCAAACCTCTCATCATCTTGTAGGTCATGTCCATCTCTAACCAAACCTCTCATCATCTTGTAGGTCATGTCCATCTCTAACCAAACCTCTCATCATTTTGTAGGTCATGTCCATCTCTAACCAAACCTCTCATCATCTTGTAGGTCATGTCCATCTCTAACCAAACCTCTCATCATTTTGTAGGTCATGTCCATCTCTAACCAAACCTCTCATCATCTTGTAGGTCATGTCCATCTCTAACCAAACCTCTCATCATTACTTAGTGACAGCTTGATTTGTTTTTGGTATCCTAAAAAAACAACGGATCAGACTTAATTTGATCTCAATAAGATTGTGTTCATCTAAGTAAACTAAGAAATTCTTTGTTGGATCCAAAAATATACAATCCTTTTTGGGAATCCATTCATTGAGCAGGTGATTAAAAGACGAGAAAAATAGCCGTGGGTGTACACGTCAGCCTGTTTTGCTAGAAATATTTCTGCTCTACAATAGTGGAGATGACGGAGTGTACAATAGAATGGTTGTCACTCACCAAATGGAGTTTTATTTTGAGTTTTCACCGTTTTACACATAAGTACTTTATTATATACGGAATATAGGGGACTTATTTTAATCGGGCAAAAATAATATTAATAAATCCAGATTTCTTAAAATGCCGGCGTTTTAAGCGTAATCGAGTCGGAAAAACTAGGTTTTGCAATTCTGTCCGTATGTCTGTGTGTGTGTGTGTGTGTGTCTGTAAACACGATAATTTGAGCACCGTTACAGGTAGGTTGATGAAATTCCATATATAAGTATTATATCAAATTTGTAGTTCTGTTTAAACTTTTCAGCGATTCCCGGTAACCGGAAGTGGTACTTATTCTACTTTCAATTTTTCAAAAGCTTATTACTTTAGTACTATTTCAGATAGATAAATGAAAGTTTCACATCTAAGTAAAAGATCTAATTCTCCGCCTTCTATCAAACTTTGATACCGGAAGTAGTAATTTACGCTATTTCCGATTTCTCAAAAAAAAAACTAATATGAATTTTTAAAGTACTAATATTTCGCACTATTATACAGATATTGTTTGCCATTCACTTGGGGCGCAATTATTTTTTTCTACGAGATTCTATTCTATTTTAAAAAGTTTAACTAATTAAAAATTGATTAAAATCATGTCTAAATCCCGAGTTGTTATTCCCCGTAGTGTTATATAAGAATATTCGAGAAAGTTTAGGGGAGACCACTCCTGCTTTATTTAAGGCGCTTTGATGTCGGCCTGAGTGCGTTTAAAAATCTTTTAATTGAAGTTCCCATTGAAATTGTAACTTTCTCTTAGTTAAAGGGTTTTTTGATGACGTAGATTTTACTCTAATTGGGCCACGATCTATAAGCTTGAATCTATCTCTGTCTAGCCTCCGATTTAATCCATCTCTGCCTAGCTTCCCAATGGATCTACGTTCTGTAGCACTTGCACATTGGTTGACTTATAGAACCATCTATTATGGACGTCATTACACACTGATTGTTGACGTCATGCATGTCGGACGGATGGACGGCGTGGTCTAACGGTTGAACGCGCGCTTCCTAATCTGAAAATCACGGGATCGTTCCCAGGGAACATGAATGAGAGAGATCATCTTTCCTCTTGTCTTCGTTTTTCTAGAAGCAGGGTTGTATAAATCTGTCGAGGCAGCAATCTCTTGAACGCAGCAAGGACAAGCGCTGAAACGATTTCATGGTCAACAGAGCGGCCGTTAGTCGCGCCGAGCATCATGAGCAGGGGCATTGGTTAGCGCTTCATCCCGTCAGCAGCTCTCTTCAGCCTGTCGTAGATCGTTTTCCAGCTCTGTTCTTCTATCAGCGTTTATATGTTCAGTTTTTGAGTCTTTGTTCAACCATTTTCTGTCTATCATTTTTCAGAATGATGAGTTTTTGGGGAAGGAGTTTCAGGAGAGCATCATTGTTGCCTTGACACCTTTACTGGAAAAGAACCATCCAACACAAGAAATCTGTGAATTTTTTAGCAAGGTAAATTATACATTGTGGTCAGCTTGGTGGGTTGGCTAAAATACACAGTGGGTGTAAGAGTCTTGGTGGGTTGGCTAAAGTACACAGTGGGTGTAAGAGTCTTGGTGGGTTGGCTAAAGTACACAGTGGGTGTAAGATTCTTGGTGGGTTGGCTAAAGTACACAGTGGGTGTAAGATTCTTGGTGGGTTGGCTAAAGTACACAGTGGGTGTAAGATTCTTGGTGGGTTGGCTAAAGTACACAGTGGGTGTAAGAGTCTTGGTGGGTTGGCTAAAGTACACAGTGGGTGTATGATTCTTGGTGGGTTGGCTAAAGTACACAGTGGGTGTAAGATTCTTGGTGGGTTGGCTAAAGTACACAGTGGGTGTATGATTCTTGGTGGGTTGGCTAAAGTACACAGTGGGTGTAAGATTCTTGGTGGGTTGGCTAAAGTACACAGTGGGTGTAAGATTCTTGGTGGGTTGGCTAAAGTACACAGTGGGTGTAAGATTCTTGGTGGGTTGGCTAAAGTACACAGTGGGTGTATGATTCTTGGTGGGTTGGCTAAAGTACACAGTGGGTGTAAGATTCTTGGTGGGTTGGCTAAAGTACACAGTGGGTGTAAGATTCTTGGTGGGTTGGCTAAAGTACACAGTGGGTGTAAGATTCTTGGTGGGTTGGCTAAAGTACACAGTGGGTGTAAGATTCTTGGTGGGTTGGCTAAAGTACACAGTGGGTGTATGATTCTTGGTGGGTTGGCTAAAGTACACAGTGGGTGTATGATTCTTGGTGGGTTGGCTAAAGTACACAGTGGGTGTAAGATTCTTGGTGGGTTGGCTAAAGTACACAGTGGGTGTAAGATTCTTGGTGGGTTGGCTAAAGTACACAGTGGGTGTATGATTCTTGGTGGGTTGGCTAAAGTACACAGTGGGTGTATGATTCTTGGTGGGTTGGCTAAAGTACACAGTGGGTGTATGATTCTTGGTGGGTTGGCTAAAGTACACAGTGGGTGTATGATTCTTGGTGGGTTGGCTAAAGTACACAGTGGGTGTAAGATTCTTGGTGGGTTGGCTAAAGTACACAGTGGGTGTAAGATTCTTGGTGGGTTGGCTAAAGTACACAGTGGGTGTAAGATTCTTGGTGGGTTGGCTAAAGTACACAGTGGGTGTATGATTCTTGGTGGGTTGGCTAAAGTACACAGTGGGTGTATGATTCTTGGTGGGTTGGCTAAAGTACACAGTGGGTGTTTGATTCTTGGTGGGTTGGCTAAAGTACACAGTGGGTGTATGATTCTTGGTGGGTTGGCTAAAATACACAGTGGGTGTAAGATTCTTGGTGGGTTGGCTAAAGTACACAGTGGGTGTAAGATTCTTGGTGGGTTGGCTAAAGTACACAGTGGGTGTATGATTCTTGGTGGGTTGGCTAAAATACACAGTGGGTGTAAGATTCTTGGTGGGTTGGCTAAAGTACACAGTGGGTGTAAGATTCTTGGTGGGTTGGCTAAAGTACACAGTGGGTGTATGATTCTTGGTGGGTTGGCTAAAGTACACAGTGGGTGTTTGATTCTTGGTGGGTTGGCTAAAGTACACAGTGGGTGTATGATTCTTGGTGGGTTGGCTAAAGTACACAGTGGGTGTATGATTCTTGGTGGGTTGGCTAAAGTACACAGTGGGTGTATGATTCTTGGTGGGTTGGCTAAAGTACACAGTGGGTGTAAGATTCTTGGTGGGTTGGCTAAAGTACACAGTGGGTGTATGATTCTTGGTGGGTTGGCTAAAGTACACAGTGGGTGTAAGATTCTTGGTGGGTTGGCTAAAGTACACAGTGGGTGTATGATTCTTGGTGGGTTGGCTAAAGTACACAGTGGGTGTAAGATTCTTGGTGGGTTGGCTAAAGTACACAGTGGGTGTAAGATTCTTGGTGGGTTGGCTAAAGTACACAGTGGGTGAAAGATTCTTGGTGGGTTGGCTAAAGTACACAGTGGGTGTAAGATTCTTGGTGGGTTGGCTAAAGTACACAGTGGGTGTATGATTCTTGGTGGGTTGGCTAAAATACACAGTGGGTGTATGATTCTTGGTGGGTTGAATGTCAATGTTTTTTTAGAATTTCACCCCCCCCCCCCCTCAAACACACACACACAAATTTCAATGGTAAACCTTGACTGCACAATACAAAATCAAATTTGTATTTAACTGACTCTCCTTTTCAGCACTGTAAAGACAGCCCTCGGTCCACTCTGGTCATTGAACTCTTCACACCTGTAGTCCATAGGATACTGAAGCACAACACGGTAAGCTTGTGGTCAAGTCTGCTGTGACCAACAGGGCTTTTAGAACTCTGTGTTTTCTCTTTTATTTGACCCTCAGCTTTATATGATGGCACTAGCCTTGTTCACATGGTCTAAATATTTTCCTTGTAGGATTTTGGCAAATATCCACGTATGAGAACCTTTGTCCAGGAATATATCCAGGCCCTCAACTGTCAGAATGATGGGCTTAAAGTAGTGCAGGCACTAGTCAAAAGGTAAACATTTATTTGTAGTAGTGCAGGCACTAGTCAAAAGGTAAACATTTATTTGTAGTAGTGCAGGTACTAGTCAAAGGGTAAACATTTATTTGTAGTAGTGCAGGCACTAGTCAAAAGGTAAACATTTATTTGTAGTGCAGGCACTAGTCAAAAGGCAAACATTTATAGTCACTAGTAAGAAATGTGTTCCCTTGAATGAATTGAGCAGACTGTAACCTCTGTCCTCTCCTACCTCCAGCATGCATGGACCAGGCAGCACATGTCCACATCCCAGGGTGCTGCCCAATCTGGTGGCTGTCTGTCTTGCTGCTATTTACAATTGCTATGAGGAAAGAAAAAAGTAGGTCAAGCTTCATGCATTCATTTAAAATTCTTTAATTTAACCATCAACTGTGTCATGCTAAATTTGATGGTGGTGCGATTGACTGGGGTGGTGTCAGTGACTGAAGTGGTGGTGTCAGTGACTGGGGTAGTGGTGTCAGTGACTGAAGTGGTGGTGTCAGTGACTGATGTAGTGGTGTCAGTGACTGAAGTGGTGGTGTCAGTGACTGAAGTAGTGGTGTCAGTGACTGGGGTGGTGGTGTCAGTGACTTAGGTGGTGGTGTCAGTGACTGGGGTGGTGGTGTCAGTGACTTAGGTGGTGGTGTCAGTGACTGGGGTGGTGGTGTCAGTGACTGATGTAGTGGTGTCAGTGACTGATGTAGTGGTGTCAGTGACTGATGTAGTGGTGTCAGTGACTGATGTAGTGGTGTCAGTGACTGATGTAGTGGTGTCAGTGACTGATGTAGTGGTGTCAGTGACTGGGGTGGTGGTGTCAGTGACTGATGTAGTGGTGTCAGTGACGGATGTAGTGGTGTCAGTGACTGAAGTGGTGGTGTCAGTGACTGAAGTGGTGGTGTCAATGACTGATATAATAACTCTATTTACCCTCAGCTGTACCCATGACAATGTAAATGGTGAAGACTTTGACCATATAGAGTGGGAGAACAAACTTCTGTGCTATGTCTCTATGATGGAGACTATGTAAGTATGTTTCATATTATTTTTGTATCATGTCGTGGTCCTCAACTTGAGGGACATGCATTATCTATAGCTGGATACTTGTAGGAGTATAGAGGTCGTCACATCTTAGTATAAAGAATAGTTAATACATGTAGTAGAAAGCACATATGTAGAGTGAAGTAATTTTGTTTGTTTGACAGGTCTGAGTTTGATGACTGGCGCTATGTACTGGGAAGTTTATTGCAGCCTATTCCTTTCCCTGATGAGTAAGTATTGCCTTTCTCACTTGTCGGCAGGATACAGTCAACTGGAGCAGGAAATGGTAGATATAGGGGGCAGGTCATGCTAATTCATGCATGGAAGTCATGATCTTGGTTATTGATGTGTCATGATCTTTGTTAATGATGCATAAAAGTCATGATCTGGGTTATTGTTGCATAGAAGTCATGATCTGGGTTATTGGTGTGTCATTATCTTGGTTATTGATGCATAAAAGTCACGATCTTGTTTATTAATGCAAGGAAGTCATGATCTTGGTTATTGAGGTGTCATGATCTTGGTTATTGTTATGTCATGATCTTGGCTTTTATTGTGTGTCATGATCTTGGTTATTGATATGTCATGATCTTGGTTATTGTTGTGTCATGATCTTGGTTATTGATGTGTCATGATCTTGGTTATTGGTGTGTCATGATCTTGGTTATTGATGTGTCATGATCTTGGTTATTGATGTATAGAAGTCATGATCTTGGTTATTGATGTGTCATGATCTTGGCTTTTATTGTGTGTCATGATCTTGGTTATTGGTGTGTCATGATCTTGGCTTTTATTGTGTCATGATCTTGGTTATTGGTGTGTCATGATCTTGGCTTTTATTGTGTCATGATCTTGGTTATTGGTGTGTCATGATCTTGGTTATTTGTGTATCATGATCTTGGTTATTGGTGTGTCATGATCAGTGTTATTCATGTGTCATACTCTTGGTTATTCATGTGTCATGATCTTGGTTATTGGTGTGTCATGATCTTGGCTTTTATTGTGTCATGATCTTGGTTATTGGTGTGCCATGATCTTGGTTATTGGTGTATCATGATCTTGGTTATTGGTGTGCCATGATCTTGGTTATTGGTGTGTCATGATCTTGGTTATTGGTGTGTCATGATCTTGGTTATTTGTGTGTCATGATCTTTGTTATTTGTGTGTCATGATCTTGGTTATTGGTGTGTCATGATCTTGCATCACAACAGTGACAGTCCTCTATTGACCAACCTACCCCTCTAAAAGGTTGAAGCATCCAATGCCAACATAACATTACAACTCTAAATGCCTGGGTGACCCTTTGTTCTGAGTAGTACCTCAGCGGAACCACCCAACTTTATAATGGCATGTGTGATTTATGTATGAGTGCTTTTAATCTTCAGAGATTGATTGCAGAATAATATAGTGACATTTTATCCTGCCTTATTAATGGCAATCCAATGATTTGCCTATTGGTGATGTAACTTCAGATAAAGGACATTTTGATGATGTGCTTCCTCAATTAGTCTATTTCATGCTCATTCATATTTCATTGCTTGTTCTGGGTGGAAAAAAACAAATGTTAGATCATTTTATGGGTTGTAGTAGTTGATGCAGTTCAGTGGCTGCTACATTCAATAGACAAGTGTTGTATGTCATTGTCTGTCAGTTAATGTGTTCTGTCAGTCATATGATATGTGTTGTATGTCATTGTCTGTCAACTATGTTATGTCAGTCATATAATATGTGTTGTATGTCATTGTCTGTCAACTAATATGTTCTGTCAGACATATATGTGTTGTATGTCATTGTCTGTCAACTAATATGTTTTGTCAGACATATGATATGTGTTGTATGTCATTGTCTGTCAACTAATATGTTCTGTCAGTCATATGATATGTGTTGTATGTCATTGTCTGTCAACTAATATGTTCTGTCAGTCATATGATATGTGTTGTATGTCATTGTCTGTCAACTATGTTCTGTCAGTCATATGATATGTGTTGTATGTCATTGTCTGTCAACTAATATGTTCTGTCAGACATATATGTGTTGTATGTCATTGTCTGTCAACTAATATGTTCTGTCAGACATATATGTGTTGTATGTCATTGTCTGTCAACTAATATGTTCTGTCAGTCATATGATATGTGTTGTATGTCATTGTCTGTCAACTAATATGTTCTGTCAGACATATATGTGTTGTATGTCATTGTCTGTCAACTAATATGTTATGTCAGTCATATGATATGTGTTGTATGTCATTGTCTGTCAACTAATATGTTCTGTCAGACATATGATATGTGTTGTATGTCATTGTCTGTCAACTGGTGCGTGCTCCCACTCAGCAAGTAGAAATGCTGTATCTGACTAGTACTGTTCCCAACCGTCAATAATTATTGACGTCTTTCTCAATTCCTTTCAATAAGGAAGTTGGCAATAATTGATGTCATTACATGGCTGTTTAGCCAGTGAAATCTGCCCATGTCTTCTTATTTGTGTAACAATTGATCAATCTCGGTAATTGTCTGGAAAAACTTTGGCCTGAGTGGAAGCAATGTCGTCAGTGCACACTACTTTTAGGTTGAGAGATTACATGGAGCTCAGACAGCAAGACCTCCGACCCCCCCCCCCCCCATAGTTTTTCACATGTACTTCATATCTCTGTCCACCCCTAGCTGTCTGCAACCTTTGTTATCTCCACCCATTGCTAGCTGTCTCCACACATTGCTAGCTGTCTCCACACATTGCTAGCTGTCTCCACCCATTGCTAGCTGTCCCCACACATTGCTAGCTGTCCCCACACATTGCTAGCTGTCTCCACCCATTGCTAGCTGTCTCCACACATTGCTAGCTGTCTCCACCCATTGCTAGCTGTCTCCACCCATTGCTAGCTGTCTCCACACATTGCTAGCTGTCTCCACCCATTGCTAGCTGTCTCCACACATTGCTAGCTGTCTCCACACATTTTAGCTGTCTCCACCCATTGCTAGCTGTCTCCACCCATTGCTAGCTGTCTCCACCCATTGCTAGCTGTCTCCACCCATTGCTAGCTGTCTCCACCCATTGCTAGCTGTCTCCACACATTGCTAGCTGTCTCCACCCATTGCTAGCTGTCTCCACACATTGCTAGCTGTCTCCACACATTTTAGCTGTCTCCACCCATTGCTAGCTGTCTCCACACATTTTAGCTGTCTCCACCCATTGCTAGCTGTCTCCACCCATTGCTAGCTGTCTCCACCCATTGCTAGCTGTCTCCACACATTGCTAGCTGTCTCCACCCATTGCTAGCTGTCTCCACACATTGCTAGCTGTCTCCACACATTTTAGCTGTCTCCACCCATTGCTAGCTGTCTCCACCCATTGCTAGCTGTCTCCACCCATTGCTAGCTGTCTCCACCCATTGCTAGCTGTCTCCACACATTGCTAGCTGTCTCCACACATTTTAGCTGTCTCCACCCATTGCTAGTTGTCTCCACCCATTGCTAGCTGTCTCCACCCATTGCTAGCTGTCTCCACACATTGCTAGCTGTCTCCACACATTGCTAGCTGTCTCCACACATTTTAGCTGTCTCCACCCATTGCTAGCTGTCTCCACACATTGCTAGCTGTCCCCACACATTTTAGCTGTCCCCACACATTTTAGCTGTCCCCACACATTGCTAGCTGTCCCCACACATTTTAGCTGTCCCCACACATTGCTAGCTGTCCCCACACATTTTAGCTGTCCCCACACATTTTAGCTGTCCCCACACATTGCTAGCTGTCCCCACACATTGCTAGCTCTCTCCACTCACTGCTAGCTGTCTCCACTCACTGCTAGCTGTCTCCACATATTTTAGCTGTCCCTACACATTTTAGCTGTCCCCACACATTTTAGCTGTCCCTACACATTTTAGCTGTCTCCACACCTTGCTGTCTGCTACCTTAAATATTCAAAACTTTTCTGTCTCCTTAGAGGCTTAGACCAATAGATTTCAAGTAAATCATTTCATGTCCGAATTGGACATGAAATGATTTAGGTACACTTTTGTATTTTTGATCAGCCAGCACTGATAGTGTTAATATAAACATCAATGTTGAAATGAGAATAACCGCCCTAATGATGTCTCGTTTTTGTCCACAGTGCCATAGCGGACTCCTTGTTTACTTCGTGAGTATACTTTCTGTTCTCCCTAATACCTTCTATACACAGACACTAACCATACACGCACAACACCATACAAATTACACCATACACACTATACCATACAAATATAGCTACACCATACACACAACACTGTTGACATAAGGACAAGCGGTGACATTAGGATGACGAGTGGTGACATTAGGATGACGAGTGGTGACTTTAGGAGGACAAATGGTGACATTAGGAGGACAAATGGTTGAGTGGTGACATTAGGATGACGAGTGGTGACATAAACAGGAACAGTCGGCGCCTAATGACACTAGTTTTCTTCATTAACGGCTCTCAAGATGGACATATTTAAAGTTTGGGGTACACTTCTCCCAATTCACATTCTATTATCGCTGGCTCTATCAACCCAATAATCTTTGTCTGGGTCTTTGTTTGACTGTTGTTTACATTACAATCAGCTGTTAACAACAAAAGGTGGGAAAATGTCCTCCCCCCACCGCCCCACATGTTTGCTGCAGTCACAATAGGCTAACCAACAGCTCAATGGACGGGTGTACCAGGTGCATGCACTGATCGGCTCAACACTTGCTAGTTACACACTGTCTTTTTAGTAGCACCTGTAGCTTGTTTTACAGTTAACACACAAAAAATGTTTCACTCAAAATTTGATTTAAAAACAAGAAATAAATATGCAACCTCTACCCCTTCAACTGTTTACATACCTCTACCCTTGGACAATATTAAAAGTATATATTTTGTAATATAAATTACATTTCATTTGGGAGGGGATGCCTGGAAGATACTCTGCATCTCTCCCCCTCCACTGACCTTTTTCTCCCCCTCTGACCTACCCCTCCCCACCACTGACCTAACTCTCCCCCTGTGACCTCCCCCCTCTGACCTACCCCTCCCCACCACTGACCTTTCTCTCCCCCTCCCCACCACTGACCTAACTCTCCCCCTGTGACCTCCCCCCTCTGACCTACCTCTCCCCACCTACCACTGACCTAGCTTTACCCCCTCAGCACTTACTTTCTCCCCCCCCCCCCCCTTCAACTGAATGAACTGGTGTATAGCTATGGTGACTTGCCACACCAACACCCACATTAAGGTGCTAGTCTTATTCACCATGGTGTCAAGTAGAAGGCTGTCACATTACATACCCTGGCAGATTCTTTAAACTTTGAATAGTTTTCATAGGGACAAATCAATACATCTGAACGGAAAGGCGTGGCATTTGGATGAGGGAATCATTTTGATAAGAGAGGTGTTTATTGTGAACGTCATCTATAATCTTCACTAATCAATGTCTGCTAATGGCGGGCTGAAGATATTGATGGCTTTCTGATGGTTCTCTAATAACCCAACAGTACTTCCACGTGGCGCTTCGATCTGCTAGTCATGTGATCATTGACTCATGCCACACCCATACTGGAGAGGATTGTGGGTAGAGCTATGTATGATGTCAACAGAACCACACCCATCTTTATATAGCAGGTTATAATTTAGTGTCTGGTGACAAATGCTCATCACTTTCATGTTGGACAAGTGTCACAGTGACCAAGGTCACAGCTGTCTAATGTCACCTTGTACAACTGACGCAGGAAAATAAACACAGTTATGCCTACTGCTGTTACATGCAACATTAGCCACATGAAACCCTAGTCACACAACCCTAGTCACACAATCCTAGTCACACAACCCTAGTCACACAACCCTAGTCACACATAACCCTAGTCACACAACCCTAGTCACACAATCCTAGTCACACAACCCTAGTCACACAACCCTAGTCACACAACCCTAGTCACACATAACCCTAGTCACACAACCCTAGTCACACATAACCCTAGTCACACACAACCCTAGTCACACAATCCTAGTCACACAATCCTAGTCACACAACCCTAGTCACACATAACCCTAGTCACACAACCCTAGTCACACATAACCCTAGTCACACAACCCTAGTCACACAATCCTAGTCACACAATCCTAGTCACACAACCCTAGTCACACATAACCCTAGTCACACACAACCCTAGTCACACAACCCTAGTCACACAATCCTAGTCACACAACCCTAGTCACACAACCCTAGTCACACAACATTAGTCACACATAACCCTAGTCACACAACCCTAGTCACACATAACCCTAGTCACACAACCCTAGTCACACAATCCTAGTCACACAATCCTAGTCACACAACCCTAGTCACACAACCCTAGTCACACATAACCCTAGTCACACAACCCTAGTCACACAACCCTAGTCACACAACCCTAGTCACACAACCCTAGTCACACATAACCCTAGTCACACATAACCCTAGTCACACACAACCCTAGTCACACACAACCCTAGTCACACACAACCCTAGTCACACACAACCCTAGTCACACACAACCCTAGTCACACACAACCCTAGTCACACACAACCCTAGTCACACAACCCTAGTCACACATAACCCTGGTCACACATAACCCTAGTCACACACAACCCTAGTCACACACAACCCTAGTCACACAACCCTAGTCACACAACCCTAGTCACACATAACCCTAGTCACACAACCCTAGTCACACATAACCCTAGTCACACAACCCTAGTCACACAACCCTAGTCACACACAATCCTAGTCACACACAACCCTAGTCACACAACCGTAGTCACACAACCCTAGTCACACATCACTAGTCACACACAACCCTAGTCACACACAACCCTAGTCACACAACCCTAGTCACACATAACCCTAGTCACACAACCCTAGTCACACAACCCTAGTCACACATAACCCTAGTCACACAACCCTAGTCACACAACCCTAGTCACACACAATCCTAGTCACACACAACCCTAGTCACACAACCGTAGTCACACAACCCTAGTCACACATCACTAGTCACACACAACCCTAGTCACACACAACCCTAGTCACACAACCCTAGTCACACAACCCTAGTCACACACAACCCTAGTCACACAACCCTAGTCACACATAACCCTAGTCACACACAACCCTAGTCACACACAACCCTAGTCACACACAACCCTAGTCACACACAACCCTAGTCACACAACCCTAGTCACACATAACCCTGGTCACACATAACCCTAGTCACACACAACCCTAGTCACACACAACCCTAGTCACACAACCCTAGTCACACAACCCTAGTCACACATAACCCTAGTCACACAACCCTAGTCACACATAACCCTAGTCACACAACCCTAGTCACACAACCCTAGTCACACACAATCCTAGTCACACACAACCCTAGTCACACAACCGTAGTCACACAACCCTAGTCACACATCACTAGTCACACACAACCCTAGTCACACACAACCCTAGTCACACAACCCTAGTCACACATAACCCTAGTCACACAACCCTAGTCACACAACCCTAGTCACACACATTAGTCACACACAACCCTAGTCACACAACCCTAGTCACACACAACCCTAGTCACACAACCCTAGTCACACATCACTAGTCACACACAACCCTAGTCACACAACCCTAGTCACACACAACATTTGTCACACACAACCCTAGTCACACATAACCCTAGTCACACAACCCTAGTCACACAACCCTAGTCACACATAACCCTAGTCACACAACCCTAGTCACACACAACATTAGTCACACACAACCCTAGTCACACACAACATTAGTCACACACAACCCTAGTCACACACAACCCTAGTCACACACAACCCTAGTCACACACAACATTAGTCACACAACCCTAGTCACACAACCCTAGTCACACACAACCCTAGTCACACAACCCTAGTCACACATAACCCTAGTCACACAACCCTAGTCACACATAACCCTAGTCACACAACCCTAGTCACACACAACCCTAGTCACACAACCCTAGTCACACACAACCCTAGTCACACACAACCCTAGTCACACACAACCCTAGTCACACAACACTAGTCACACACAACCCTAGTCACACACAACCCTAGTCACACAACCCTAGTCACACACAACCCTAGTCACACAACCCTAGTCACACAACCCTAGTCACACACAATCCTAGTCACACACAACATTAGTCACAAACAACCCTACTCACACAACCCTAGTCACACACAACCCTAGTCACACAACCCTAGTCACACACAACCCTAGTCACACAACCCTAGTCACACACAACCCTAGTCACACACAACATTAGTCACACAACCCTAGTCACACAACCCTAGTCACACACAACATTAGTCACACAACCCTAGTCACACAACCCTAGTCACACAACCCTAGTCACACAACCCTAGTCACACAACCCTAGTCACACAACCCTAGTCACACAACCCTAGTCACACACAACATTAGTCACACAACCCTAGTCACACACAACCCTAGTCACACACAACCCTAGTCACACAACCCTAGTCACACAACCCTAGTAACATAACCCTAGTCACACAACCTTAGTCACACAACCCTAGTCACACAACCCTAGTCACACAACCCTAGTCACACACAACCCTAGTCACACAACCCTAGTCATACATAACCCTAGTCACACACAACCCTAGTCACACAACCCTAGTCACACACAACATTAGTCACACAACCCTAGTCATACATGACCCTAGTCACACACAACCCTAGTCACACAACCCTAGTCACACATAACCCTAGTCACACACAACCCTAGTCACACATAACCCTAGTCACACATAACCCTAGTCACACAAAACCCTAGTCACACAACCCTAGTCACACACAACATTAGTCACATAGTTACTTACACACAATCCCAGTCACACATAACCCTAGTCACATAGTTACTTACACACAATCCTAGTAAGTCACTAAAAAAACAATGGTAATATTATTACTTAACAAAACAATAGAATTCAGTCACATATAGAATTCAGTTACATATTACATATTATGACACTTTTTTTTTGTCATAATATGTAATGCATTTGGCAACTTTTATATAGCAACATTGTATGCAAAATATGTATTTTAAATTGTGTTAACTTGATGAAATAAGCCATACTCTATACTTATCTTTTTACAGCCGTATGAAAGTAACAATACATAATGTATCATCGGATGAGACATGTGGTGTTCACCAGACATTGCTTGGGATTAGAGAAGGCAAGGAGGGATGGTTCCACCTCTACTGTCCTGGGGGCATTGCATGTGATGATGAAGGCCAGCTCTGGGGGGTCATGGTAGGTCTCACACATCTCTACTGGGGGTATGGTAGGTCTCACACTTTACTGGGGGGTATGGTAGGTCTCACACATCTTTAGGGGGGGGGGGGGTATGGTAGGTCTCACACCTTTAGGGGGGTATGGTAGGTCTCACACTTATCTCTACTGGGGGGTATGGTAGGTCTCACACTTATCTCTACTGGGGGTATGGTAGGTCTCACACCTTTAGGGGTGTATGGTAGGTCTCACACTTATCTCTACTGGGGGTATGGTAGGTCTCACACCTTTAGGGGTGTATGGTAGGTCTCACACTTATCTCTACTGGGGGGTATTGTGGGTCTCACACCTTTAGGGGTGTATGGTAGGTCTCACACTTATCTCTACTGGGGGGTATTGTGGGTCTCACACCTTTAGGGGTGGTATGGTAGGTCTCACACTTATCTCTACTTGGGGGTATGGAAGGTCTCACACTTATCTCTACTTGGGGCGAGGTTATGGCAAGTCTCATGTCTACTGGGGTTGTGGGTTATGAATTTGCAATTAAACACTTTGATTTGAACTTTGCAATTAAACACTTTGATTTGAACTTTGCAATTAAACACTTTGATTTGAACTTTGCAGTTAAACACTTTGATTTGAACTTTGCAGTTAAACACTTTGATTTGAACTTTGCAGTTAAACACTTTGATTTGAACTTTGCAGTTAAACACTTTGATGAAATGTTGCTGCAAGAGGAAAAAGTTTCTGATGAGCATCTCTAAAATGATTGGCCCCATCATGCTGCTGGCACTCAGGGATAACTTTGCTGCCATTGAGGTAAGATTGGCCCCATCATAATGCTGGCACTCAGGGATAACTTTGCTGCCATTGAGGTAAGATTGGCCCCATCATAATGCTGGCACTCAGGGATAACTTTGCTGCCATTGAGGTAAGATTGGCCCCATCATAATGCTGGCACTCAGGGATAACTTTGCTGCCATTGAGGTAAGATTGGCCCCATCATAATGCTGGCACTCAGGGATAACTTTGCTGCTATTGAGGTAAGATTGGCCCCATCATAATGCTGGCACTCAGGGATAACTTTGCTGCTATTGAGGTAAGATTGGCCCCATCATAATGCTGGCACTCAGGGATAACTTTGCTGCTATTGAGGTAAGATTGGCCCCATCATAATGCTGGCACTCAGGGATAACTTTGCTGCTATTGAGGTAAGATTGGCCCCATCATAATGCTGGCACTCAGGGATAACTTTGCTGCTATTGAGGTAAGATTGGCCCCATCTTAATGCTGGCACTCAGGGATAACTTTGCTGCTATTGAGGGGTAATTGGCAGGGGGTATTTGCTTGGGGGGGGGGAGGAGAACTGTCTGGAGTAATTGACAGAGGGGGGGGGGAGAGATCAGATAATGTCCTAGACCCATACTGCTGGCACTCCGCGATAACTTTGCTGCTGCCATTGAGGTAAGATGTAATGTGTGCGAGGTTAGCTTGACCTTGGTGATGGTGTATGCTTGTGTTGACCTGACCTAGTCTACATCACCACAAGTGAAATGTTGAAACAGCTGACCTCCAAAAGCCCCCAGTGTGAAGAAAGTGCTGTCCATCCCCAGGTCCTGTGTGCCATGCTGGAGCTGGAGGTGGTGGAGGGCCATGACATGAAGATGCAGATGATAACAACGCTGCAGTCCACCTGTGAGGGCAAGCGCATGTATGCACAGCTCTGTGAGAGGCAGATTGCCATCAAGGAAATGGTTTGTAGTTTTTTTTTCTTTGGTTTACTTCTTTAGCTGGTAATCTTGTGATTTTTTAATGTCCTACTTTGGATTTGCAGTTTTCTTTGGGTTTGTAGTTAGCCTTTGGAAAAGTAGTATTTAAATTTGTAATTTGTTGCTAGGTTAGTATTTACATTTATGAGAAATCTTGATATTTCTAGCAACAGAAAGGTGGCCCCAAGAAACTTACCTTACCAAGTAAGTCAACAGACTATGATCTGACCCGGATGTTAAGCTCTGGATCTTTTGGTAACCTTGAGTGCCTAAGTCTGGCCTTCACCCAAGTGACCAGCGCATGTGCCAACGACTTGATCAAACTGCCATCTCTTCGATATCTCAACCTTTGGTCAACTCAGGTAAATCTTGTGTTTGATGCTCAACTTAGGTCTGACTTTAACTTAGGTTTACAGTGGTCTAATTGATCCTTGACCCAAGTGTCAGACAGTATAGAAATTAAAAACATTGATCATTGGATGAAAGCAAGACTGTTGGATATGTTGCCAGCAAGACTGTTGGATATGTTGCCAGCAAGACTGTTGGATATGTTGCCAGCAAGACTGTTGGATATGTTGCCAGCAAGACTGTTGGATATGTTGCCAGCAAGACTGTTGGATATGTTGCCAGCAAGACTGTTGGCTATGTTGCCAGCAAGACTGTTGGATATGTTGCCAGCAAGACTGTTGAATATGTTGCCAGCAAGACTGTTGGATATGTTGCCAGCAAGACTGTTGGATATGTTGCCAGCAAGACTGTTGGATATGTTGCCAGCAAGACTGTTGGATATGTTGCCAGCAAGACTGTTGGATATGTTGCCAGCAAGACTGTTGGATATGTTGCCAGCAAGACTGTTGGATATGTTGCCAGCAAGACTGTTGAATATGTTGCCAGCAAGACTGTTGGATATGTTGCCAGCAATACTGTTGGATATGTCACCAACCAGAAACATTGTCTTTATTGCTTTTAGTGTATCAAAACTTAATATAACCATGCAATGGGTCAGCATAGTCAGTCGGGTAAAGCACATGGTTGCTCAACTGAAATGTCCTTACTAACAGAGAAAACTCCTAAATAAATCAACTGCTCCCTTTTTTTTGTTCTTGGTTGGACAAAGGCTATGAAAGTGAATTCAGAAAGAAAAGTAGGCCACAGGGCCCATAACTTATTGAAATGTAATACTTTATTGTGTTGGAACAAATCCCGTCCAACACAAGTTAAGCTGCTACAGTCAAAATCTTGTTTTGGCAACACCAGGAGTTCAACTGTTAAACTTTTTATGATTGCTTGTGTAAATGTGTTTCAACTTTTTACAGTTGCTTGTGTAATATGTTTCAACTTTTTACAGTTGCTTGTGTAAATGTGTTTCAACTTTTTACAGTTGCTTGTGTAATATGTTTCAACTTTTTACAGTTGCTTGTGTAAATATGTTTCAACTTTTTACAGTTGCTTGTGTAAATATGTTTCAACTTTTTACAGTTGCTTGTGTAAATATGTTTCAACTTTTTACAGTTGCTTGTGTAAATATGTCCAATCAGTGAAGCCATTTTCCCGTGTACTTGCCTAACTAGAAAAAAACCCATTCTCCCCAGTTTGGTGACCATGGGCTGCAGATAATATCTGAACATCTTCACAAGCTCCAGGTCTTGAACCTTTGTGAGACTCCTGTCACTGACAAAGGGCTGGCTTGTCTAGCATGTAGGTCCATCTTATCACATTGGTTTTTCTCTACTCTAGTTCTAGAAGTATACCCATTTTATGAATTGGATATCTTTTAAAACCACTCATCACACTATTTATTTACAGCAATGAAGAGCCTTCGTAAACTAAACCTCAACAGCACTAATCTGTCAGCTCTTACATTTGAAGGCTTGAAGGTACGAAGACAATGGTCACTTGAATCACAACTTGCCATCTTTTTTTTTTAAACCTTATGGCTGTAACCTTTCTTCTAAACCTTATGGCTATAACCTTTCTTATAAACCTTATGGCTATAACCTTTCTTATAAACCTTATGGCTGTAGCCTCTCTTCTAAACCTTATGGCTGTAACCTTTCTTCTAAACCTTATGTCTGTAACCTTTTTTCTAAACCTAATAGTAGCTGTAACCTTTCTACTAAACCTATTATTATATTATTGTAATGATAGGAAAAGGGAGGGGTGTAAAAATCCTTTTTAAATGTTGGCATATGAATAGTGTGTTCTATATACCTCTAGAGCACTGCCATTTTAATTTTTATATACAACCTAAGAGTTTTATGTTTGTTTTAAAATGCTCCTCGATGTTAAATTCAACATGTGGACATCCACATGGACCCTAATTCCCCTTCTCCATCCACACATGACCAAAAATGTTGAAATTGTTTTTAGACACCCCCCCCCCTCAATGTGGACATGTCATCAATGGATGACCTTTTATGGCTGTCTTTTATCTCACCCTCCCTCAACCAATAGTATCATTTGTTTTTATTTGCCTATAGTGTTCTCTTTGTATTGACCTCTCAACTCTCACTCAACCAATAGTATCATTTGTTTTTATTTGCCTATAGTGTTCTCTTTGTATTGACCTCTCAACTCTCACTCAACCAATAGTATCATTTGTTTTTATTTGCCTATAGTGTTCTCTTTGTATTGACCTCTCAACTCTCACTCAACCAATAGTATCATTTGTTTTTATTTGCCTATAGTGTTCTCTTTGTATTGACCTCTCAACTCTCACTCAACCAATAGTATCATTTGTTTTTATTTGCCTATAGTGTTCTCTTTGTATTGACCTCTCAACTCTCACTCAACCAATAGTATCATTTGTTTTTATTTGCCTATAGTGTTCTCTTTGTATTGACCTCTCAACTCTCACTCAACCAATAGTATCATTTGTTTTTATTTGCCTATAGTGTTCACTTTGTATTGACCTCTCAACTCTCACTCAACCAATAGTATCATTTGTTTTTATTTGCCTATAGTGTTCTCTTTGTATTGACCTCTCAACTCTCACTCAACCAACAGTATCATTTGTTTTTATTTGCCTATAGTGTTCTCTTTGTATTGACCTCTCAACTCTCACTCAACCAATAGTATCATTTGTTTTTATTTGCCTATAGTGTTCACTTTGTATTGACCTCTCAACTCTCACTCAACCAATAGTATCATTTGTTTTTATTTGCCTATAGTGTTCTCTTTGTATTGACCTCTCAACTCTCACTCAACCAATAGTATCATTTGTTTTTATTTGCCTATAGTGTTCACTTTGTATTGACCTCTCAACTCTCACTCAACCAATAGTATCATTTGTTTTTATTTGCCTATAGTGTTCTCTTTGTATTGACCTCTCAACTCTCACTCAACCAATAGTATCATTTGTTTTTATTTGCCTATAGTGTTCTCTTTGTATTGACCTCTCAACTCTCTAATGGTATCTTCCAGGAGAAGCTTCCAGCCTTGCAGGAGTGTGATGTCCGTTACACGGACGCCTGGTGACTGTGAGCGCGAGGAGTGGACGTGGTCACACCACTAAGATTTGTTTGGTAGACAAATCTTGAGAGAGAAATCTCAGTCTCACTGCCTTAAGCGCACCCCTTACTACTGGCACTCTACTGGAAACTTCAAGAACAAAATTGTATCAGACTCTTTTCTCAATACTTCTTCTGTCTTACACTAATGAAGCACTGATATTTTTTTACTACTAGCTTTGTTTTTTCTGGGTATTTTATTGTGTTACTTGTATTATGAGCTCCCATCTTAAGACTGGACTGCACTTGTGTCCTTGTTGCCTGCCCACTGTTGGTGAGTGTGTGTTCATGTGAAAACAACCATGGCTCCATTGGGTGTTGTTTGACCACAGTTCATGGGATTAACAGCCAATATGAAACTATTCTCAAGGTACTATATTGAATAAGTTTGTTGAAAAAAATAATTGTTTATCACAGTTCATGGGATTAACAGCCAATATGAAACTATTCTCAAGGTACTATATTGAATAAGTTTGTTGAAAAAATAATTGTTTATCACAGGCTCTTTGAGTCCTGACATGTTACAAAAATGCAATAATTTTGTTTATAAAATGAAGTGTAAACATTACTATTTTCTAAACATTTCCACCTTGTTCTAATTATACAACTATTTGCCCCAAGAATTTTTCCAACAGCATATTCATAGAACCAGACCTTCAGCTAAATTTTAAATTTTCACAGTTCAATCTGTGATGATTTTATTATCCTAAGAATATTCTGCTATAATTAGATATGCTTAATAATCCCTTGACTTTTGTAGAATACTGCTTTGATTCTGTCAAAATTTAGGTTCAGATTTATTTGAGGAACCTGTAGCCTCTGTTTTGGGCAAGCTTCATCAATGCTTTAATCTCATTTTTTAGTTATTTGACATGGTAAATGCTGTTGTTTCACCAAATATGAACACCCCATGTAGCTTGAACGAAGTGTCTGATTATGATCAGTTTTGTTCAAGAGATTACAAGTTCAGATGTTTATATAATAATAATAATGTGTTCTTCCTAGCTGTTATTTTGTTCCCATGTAACCTTGGCTATTGAGAGTTGCATGAGTTGTGGCTATAGGGCACTGGTTAGCCAGAGCGCTGGAGGCCTTACAGTCATCCCCTCACTACCATGTTTGGTTTATACTCTTGTCAAGCAATTTTTTTGTACATACAAGTGGGAGTTTGTCATTTGTTTTTGGTTGAATCATTTAGCGCAAGCATTAATTTAATTTGTTGGTGTGGGTCACACCCAATGTTTTTGTGCATTCCCTTTGGTGTTCATTGTCTACAAAAATTGCTAAAGCAGTCAATCAAAACACTAGTTAGCAAAAGTTAAAATGTTACAATTGAGCTCTTCAGCTTGCTGCTGGAGATTGTGCTTGAGAGCTCCAACAAGTTCTCTGGTGGGACGCCAGCTTTTTAAGCCTTATGTTGTTGGAAACTACTTCTCTTGGGACTTTTTCACTTGGAAGTATGGACCAAGGCCAGGCAGAAACCACACAGCACTACATCTTGACTGGCCAATGGAAGGTCTAATGCTATACATTTCTTTTTGAGTTGGCAAGATCCCTCACCCAATGAGCTTCTTCATGTATGCTATAGATGTCATTACCATGTATAACTTGTGCTGTATTATAACTTTTGGATGATGTCTTCTATTTTTATTCTATGTAATAACTAATGTACCGTAACTGTGTTATACCATGTGTAAGTTTTCTACTCTGTTGTATTCAACAACTGCTAGGGTAGCTTTCAAATCATCTTTGCATTTAGAACAAATGGATCGTGTCAAGTATAACCTCATGACTTGCAACTAAAACATCCACACTCACTTTCTGTCATCCAGATGTTTTCTTTAATCAAATCTAATTCTTTAATGTCATCAGAATTTGAGTTAGAATTGTTGGTGCTATGCCAAAACTTGTAAAGAACCAGTGACATTCCCTGTCACCATTATCAGACTGTTATTGATGAAATGGCCTGTTTTCTATGACATATGTAGAGGCTTGTACTAGTGCTTGCCATTCTGTCAGTAAAACGCTCTCTTGAGTTGATTCAGTACTAAATATACATGTGATCAAGAGTGCCTTCCCTTCAGTTGAGTTTCAAGATTTTTTTAGCATTCAAACATCTTAGATTAGTTTGTATTATGAATGCCCTATTATACTTAAGCTATCTGCTATATAAACTCTACAATGATTCCATCGATAAATCTAGTCCTTACTTCTATACTGACAGTGCATATCATTCCATTCTTGCGATTTTTTTTCTTTCCACAAAGTGTCAACACTCTTTCATCAATGTTATACTATGATCATCAGTTGTAATCTATTTGTTCCATGTGTCTAGTCTGACTTTTTGTACAATCATCAAATTTATGTGCATGATGTTCACATTTGATACATTTCTTCTAATTAATTCATTAGCTAATTTTGTTCTATCATGTTCATTTAATGTTGTTTTTTTTTTTTTGCTTTTCTCTTATGTGGTATATTCCTTTGAGTTATCTCTTTAGTTGAAACCAGTGAGGCAAGCTTTGACATTGTACAGCATTGAGCATGTTTCAATGACTGTCTTCTTGCATTTTTCACATTTAACTCAATAGGGTTACTAGGGAGATATGTTCAATGTTTCTTGTAACAATATGCAATCTTTTCTCATATCAGCTTTCAGAACAAATATTATTTAATGCTTTTTCTAGATGTGGCTTTAGTAAATCATGATTAAAACAGTGGAATGCATACATTCATAAGGTAGCTGCAGTATTGGTATCAATCAAATGTATGCTTTCTTCAGTTAAAATACTCTATTGCTTTTTGTTTCACAATCATATTTGACTTACTTTCAATTACTTGTCGCACACACACACACACACCAAACCCTCTCAGTGGCTGTCATTTGTATTTAATCAAGATTTACATATGTAGTGTTTTTACAAGTGCACAATATTTTCACAAGGTTATCACCCATGGATTACTTAGGAAGAGAAAGTCATTTCATAAGGGTATTGTACTTTTGGTTATTGTTAAATTAGGTTCTAGTCTCTAAATTTGATATTTTTTATTTCTAGTTAAAATTTCAGGATTGTTAGTTTTTCGCATCAGTTTAATTTGCTAGTTATCAGCCATTTGTGTTGGTCATATTACTGTTAAAATCATATCATTAGCTAGCATACAAGAAAGTTAGAAATAAAATGAGTCCAAAGCTGAAATTCTAGAACTATGATGCAGCACCATTTTTTTGTTATCTAGTATGTGTGGCAACAAACCTGATCAACACAAACTGTTTTGCAGCAGCACCACTACTACGGCATTTAATGCTGTGATAACTCACAGATACAACTTTTTGGCATCTCTTACCTTTGACCTAGTAGAAATCTTCATTTTCTATGTTGCACTTGTATTTTAAAAGTTGAAACATTACACAATGTTCTACCAGAAGTTAAGAGTTTTTAGCAGCTTCTAAAAAATTTTAACTAGAACCATCTGTTGAAACATTAGGTTACCAAAAATGTATAGGTTTATTTTAGATGGTATAAAAAATAGCTTGCTCAGAGTATGATCCCTAGGATTTCTGGCACAATGTTCACGATCTGTAGCTGTGCATGCCTTGTATGTTTCCTAGCCAGAGATTTTCTACTATTGACATTGTTGAGTTTTAAAATTTGACGAAAAAAATTATTTTTTAAGAAATGCTTTATCGCTGGCGAAAAGCTGCAGGAATTTATCTGCAATATAAGTCTTGTAAACTTTTGTTTCATGCAATTGTACGGTGCTGTGAACTAAGTATAAAAATGGGAAGCTTGTGGGAGGGAAAATTTCTTAGTGTCTGTGTTCCAAGCACATAGACAAACTTTTCTTTCTGATAAATATTTACAATTTTTGGATGTCTACACCTCTATTTTCTATACTACTGTAATCAACTAGTGGAAAAAGTAGTCTGTGTATTTATCTATCTATAAAACTGAACTTACAGGGGGAAAAATATTTCAAACTTCATGCAAAAAAAAAATTCATTTTAAAAAGGCAGCCACATTTTGTTAGTGGTTGACTCAAATTTTTACTGAACCGAAAAAGGCTGTGATGTCATTTATTTACTTTATTTAATGAGTTGCAAAAACTTTATGTCCAACTTTTAAAAACTATTACTGAAGTTTTTTCTCCAAATTCCTGGCCATATATTATTATGTTTGCAGTCAAATAAATGGGTTTTGATGTTGTAAACACACACACCTTGAGTTTGTATTTTATTTTGAATGTAAGATGTATGATTGTAAGGACTTAATATTAACATGAAAACAAGAATTAATTTGGTAAGAAAATTTTCTTTTTATAAAAGCAAAAAAAAACAAATTCACTTAAGATTTGATGACTTTATTAACTTAGAAGTGAAGGTCAGTCTTTCATTTCCTGGAGAGAGAAAATTGAAGTTAGAAATCTACCACACTATGTAAACCTGACATTCTATTCTTGTCAAGACAAGTGACTTACTTTTTTCTACCAAAAGACTTTGGCCCTTTCTTTGAAGGACCCATTGCTTCTTTTCTTTCCTTGTAAGAAGGTCTGAAAAAATATAATTTTATTGATAATACTAAACCAAGTAGTTATTCTTATCACATATATAAAATAGTTATAAATGTATTACCCTGCTCTGAATTTCTTAACGGCACTTGATCCAATGTCTGCAAGTTCTTCTTCAAATCCAGACGTGCGTGGCTTCTTTCTTTTATTCTTGGGTTTCCGAGAATCTTAGCAAAATGAGTAACAATTTTTAGGAACTTATTTTTTAAGATAATTTCAACTGCAAGGCCATTTCACACAGATGGGACCAGACCACTGTGAAAATTATGAAATATTTGGCTGCAACCTTCCTACATTTTTGCAGCTCTTTCTTGTACTGAGTAATAGATTATATGTAATTTTCCCCTCTTATTTCTAAATCAATTTTTATGTAAACATTTTCTTAATTAATTTGAAGCTCATTAAAAGAAGTCTAAATCAAAAGTAAAGAGTTAATTCCAGCAGTTTTAAAAACAAATTGAATGAACAGCACAGGGTAGATAAATTGAACAAACAATGCATGCAATATTAACAGTAAAGAGGACAGGCATGGAATTTTTTTAAAAATTTTGCTCTTATTAAAAAATACCTTAAGGAAAAGTGACAGAGGAAAAGTTCAGAAATAGGCTAAAATTCAGAAAAGTGACACCCCTGTTTACAAACTAAATAGTATCCTCAATCACCCATTATAAAAAAATAAAAAGTCATATTGAGCCACAGTAAAATACCTTTAGGACTTTCTTCTGAAAATGCTCCAAGGGGTTTCGCCTTCATTGATTTCTTGGTAGCTCTGATACTTAACAACTGTGCTTTAGTCAGCTCAAAATTAACACGATCTTCTGCCTGTTAAAAAAGTAATCAGCAAAAATTGTATGAGCTAACTGATAATAATTTTATTAATACATTTTAAAACTTATTGTTTAAATGGTTAAGAAATAAAATAAAACAAGTGCTTTTTTTAAAGAAAATGTTTAAATGATTCTAGTAACAAATATTACCGTTAACTTTTTTCTGGTTTTCTTTTTCTCTGCTTTAGTATCCTTTTCAGATAAACGTAATTTAGCTGAAATAAAAAGTCTCTGTTTTGTAAACATACACAAGCGCAGCAAAACAAAAAGTATTGCCTTGCTGGAAGGTAATATTCACCTCCCACTGCACATGAAGTGGCTTTTGTTTAAAGTGATGAGTTCAGTATTCTATGTACTAGTGTCCTGACCACTAATCCTGCTGTGAGTTATGTCATGACCAGGTTTTAAAATGAAGTTGAGTTAATCAGTTTCTGTATAGAGGTACAGTTGGTCAGTTCTGTGTCCAGCAGCCTTTGCTTTTCCTAACTGGAGTCATGTCTGTAGGCTCAAGGATTTCCTACAGACTCTAACCTGAATTCTGAACTCCAGGCTTTTGGGTTAGTAGTTGTACACTACCGTCCAAACTTTTGGGTTAGTAGTTGTACACTACCATCCAAACTTTTGGGTTAGTAGTTGTACACTACCGTCCAAACTGTTCCAATAACATATTTAAATCCTTGCTCTGTTACAGTTAATAAAAATTGACTGATCTAAAATGAACTATTAAACAAATGTTTATTACCTTTCTCAACTTTTCGCTCCTTATAACTTTGGAACCAGCTTCTAGGTCTCTCCTGATCCTCTTTCTTGTCTAGCATGTTGTGAGCCTTTTGCATTTTGTTTTCTACAGAACGGAGGTGACTTTCTTCTTTTTGCTGCAGCTGTATTGTCTTGATATCCTCTTCAATGCTGGCAATTTTGTCTCTGTACTTGGTAATAACATCTGAAAGAGATGATGCACACTTGATGTCATTCCTTTACTTGGAGGTTTTATCTAGGTAAGTTGGATGTGAATACAATGGGTGATACCTTGTGGGATGATTCTTGTTTTCAGTGGAGTTTTCGCTTCCTTTACAACCTCTTTTAAGACTTTTCTTTCCTTCTCTCCTACCAAAGTCACAGATCTGAAAAAGGTATTCAGCTACAATATATTTTAGAACATTTTTAAGGCAATGATGTGTTTGACAAGCCAAGCTCTGTTTACCTGCCACTCTTGCCAGCTCTGGCTGTTCTACCAACCCTGTGGATGTAGTGCTTCAGTGTGCTGGGCATCGTGAAGTTGATCACCTGGTAACAAAAATTAAATCAACATTGTATTTGGCATCTCAATACCCTATTCTTAACTGTCTCAATACCCTATTCTTAACTGTCTCAGTACCCTATTGTTATAACTGTCTCAATACCTTACTGTTAAATGTCCCAATACCCTATTGTTAAATGTCTCAACACCCTAATGTAATTGTCTCAATACCCTAATGTTAACTTACTGTCTTGACACCTTCAATGTCTAGACCTCTGGATGCCAGATCTGTAGCCAGTAATACATCAATCAAGCCTTCTTTAAACTTCTTCAAAGTGTCTAATCTCTAAGGAAACAAAAAAATTCACATTCAACATTTGTATGTATTTAAGGAAAATAAAGTTTACATTTTAGTTTACATACTGACCACTAGCTGACGTGTCATAGATGCTGACCAATAACTGACTTGTCATAGACACTGGCCACTAGCTGGCATGTGTCAACAAACACTGATCACTAGCTGACATGTATCAACAAACACTGACCACTAGCTGACATGTATCAACAAACACTGACCACTAGCTGACATGTATCAACAAACACTGACCACTAGCTGACATGTGTCAACAAACACTGACCACTAGCTGACATGTATCAAAAAACACTGACCTGAGCCTGGGATAAATTTCCATGTAATTCTCCAACATTGATACCCAGAAGGCCTAGCAGGATGTGCATTCTATGTGCCTGAACCTTGGTCTGAATAAACACAATGCAGCGGTCACAAAAATTACGGGATACCAACGCTGAAAAAAAAGATAAAGACTTTACTTACACTATAATAAATTATGACTGCATCTACTAAAATTTAGTAAGTAATTTAAACGTGGAGAGTTACATATTTTGCATCAACTTTCAAATTGAAAAGGCATGAGATGTTAACTCCACTAGTTTCCTCACGGTGCAGACTCAGCTGTTTTTTTGTTAAAGAAAAGTTCACCAAAACATTTTTTTAAATATTTTAAATATATAATAAATAACTGTTGTTTTACTGAAAGCTCAACTTCATTAAATTCACTTTCATTCTTTGTTCAATACAATGAAAATATTTTATAATTTCACAAGAGCTTAACAAATGTTAGCAGCAATTATTTTCTCCCTTTTTCCTAAAACTTACTAGCAACAATGAATTGTCTCAAATGGCAATCAAATCGGGCCCATTATTAAAATAAATGTGGTTATAAATCCTATCATTAGGTTTTTGTCTGACTTTACTAAAGATTTAAAGTATTTGGTGTTTTTAGTATTATCGGTAACTAAACTAAGTAATAAATAAAGCCAAAATCAATTTGGGGTTTTCTGATTTGTCACTCAAAATGTAAACAAACAGCATAACGAGTCCATGGAAATTAATAAAGTATTAGTTGTAGTATATTATTATCAGCAAATTTTTTAGTACAAATTAATACATGGCCAATCAATGTTACTAAATTTCTGAGTTCTTTCAGGCTTAAGTTTTATTTTTCATTTTTTAAGGCTTCTTTGATGAATAGCAGAAATTGAAAAAAACATGATTTTTACCCATGTCAACAATAATGATGGAACCCGATCAAGTCTGCCCCCTCCATCGCCTCTCTCTCCTAAAACTTACCAGCAACAATTGCCTCTCTGTCTCCTTCTCTGTTGGGTCTAATCCTAACAAATTCTTGGTGCAGACCAAGAGCAACATCGGTACTTTGGTTAACAAACACCTTGACAGGATCTTTCAGGGAGACAGATACCAGCTCTTGAACCTTGGGAAATGTTATCAAACATGTGTACATGGGTGGGGAAATGTCATCAAACATATGTACATGAATGGGGAAATGTCATCAAACGTGTACATGGGTGGGGAAATGTCATCAAATATGTGTACATGAGTGGGGAAATGTCATCAAACATGTGTACATGAGTGGGGAAATGTCATCAAACATGTGTACATGGGTGGGGAAATGTCATCAAACATGTGTACATGGGTGGGGAAATGTCATCAAACATGTGTACATGAGTGGGGAAATGTCATCAAACATGTGTACATGGGTGGGGAAATGTCATCAAATACTTGTAGATGTGTAGGGAAATGAAAACTAATCTGTACATGAGCTGGGGATTGTAAACAAACATGTGTACATGACTGGGGAAATGTAAACAAACATGTACATGAGTGGGGAAATGTCATAAAACGTGTACATGAGAATGAGTTCTGATGCTTTTGGCCCAGCAAATGATGAGCACAAGTTAATTAAAGTACTCACCGTCTCAGTCATGGTTGCTGAGAACAACATCGTCTGTCTTTGTCTTGCACACAAACGTATAATTTCATTCATTTGCTCAGCAAAATATTCATCTAACATTCTAAAGATTTAAAAATTTAAAGTCATTTGATGAACAAATATTTTATATTATTTTTGTATCATTTGTAATGGGTTGGTGTGGTTGTAAAGTAGAGATCAAGACTGGTAACCTAAGTTTGGACCCTGTGTCTGTAGGAGTCTCAAGACTGGTAACCTAAGTTTGGACCCTGTGTCTGTAGGAGTCCCTGACTCCTGGAGTCCCTGACTCCTGTTAGGGGGAGGAAAGGTGGCATAGTGCAGACCACATTATTCTTTCATGTGCTGAGATCACAGAAACAGGTGAACTCTACTTCATCTGCCCATGAACAGCCAGGTTCAAAAGAGTAACCATGTTTTTTTATAAAAATAAGATAAGACTGTAACTGTAACTTTTTGTTTCTGTTACATATATGCAGAGTCCTTTGTTTGCTATTGCTAAATGAAAGAAATCTTTGCTCACCTATCAGCTTCATCAAGAGCTAAATGAAAGAAATCTTTGCTCACCTATCAGCTTCATCAAGAACTAAATGAAAGAAATCTTTGCTCACCTATCAGCTTCATCAAGAACCAAAATTTCAATGTTGTTGAGAGTAAAATTCATACTGTTGTGCAGGTGGTCAATCAATCTACCAGGTGTTGCTATGACGATATCTGGTCCCAGTCGCAGCATTGCCTCTTGTGCTTTCAAGTCCAAACCACCTGTTTTATAGCATAGACTGAGCTTTTAAATCTAAACCACGTTTTAAAAAAGACTGAGCTTTCAAATGTAAACCACGTTTTAAAACAGACTGAGCTTTCAAACCTAAGTGAACATACCAGCAGCCAAACAAATGTCAATGTTAGCGTGCTGAGCCAGTTGCCTAGCAACTGTGTGGACCTGCACTGCCAGCTCTCTAGTGGGAACAAGAATGAGGACCCGAGTTGTTGCTGTGGCCTTAGGTCTGTACATCAATCTTTCAAGTATGGGCAGCATAAAGGCAATGGTTTTACCTGATGACATGGTTTTCAAAGGATTATGCTTTCATCAACTAGTGATAACTGTACTATATTAAAAAGAAAATTTGTTTTCAAAGTAAACTTCAACAGGCAGCAGGAATTAAATTAATTACCTGAACCGGTGACTGCACAGGCACAAATATCTCTCCCCAGGAGAGCCACAGGGATACAAGCTGCTTGAATGGGTGTTGGCTTCAAGAAGTTTAAGGCAGAGAGACCCTGGAATCAGATCCTGGCTTTAGCTGACAGACTATTACTTTTTACATATGTCCACACATTCACAAAAAATTACTTTTGTTTGTCATATCTGCACACTAAAGCTATGTGGCATTATACAATACATTTATGACAGCCTCTAAAAGTAGAGTAAAAAATTTTTAGATATTATTCTACCATTAATTTATGACAAGACCTAAAAGTAGTATAAAATATACCGATATTGTTCTAAAAAATCTATGACAGACTCACTTTTAACAATGGTCGAGATAAGTTCATTTCCTGAAAGCTTAGTTTCTCGTCATATGTGTCTATACTCTCTGAAAACTGAACTTTTGCCAATTCCTGAAATGGTGGTAAGTCAAGAAGCATGAAAAATTTTTAGTTCTGTAAAATTACAAATATAAAATGTATTTTTTTAAAATTAAATCTAACTACTTTTGTGGTTTTAAAATTGTTAAACAACAACTAAAAAAACATTGATTAATAGCAATAGAATTGTGCAAATGAGATTTGTGAAAAACTTGAAAACAAAATACAAACTTCTTCTTCCACTTCCCCTTTCTTTGACCTTTTTCTTTTCTTGTCTTTAGTCTTTATTGTATCTGTATAACATGAGGTAATAGTTGAGAATTTGATTGTCTTTTTTTAATGACTATTCAGGGCTGCCAACCCAACTTTTATTTTTATAACAACTTCACACCATTATGTCTCTATGCATGTCAATCGATGAATAAAAATCTTCAACAGCTACACATTTGCTAGTTCACACCACACACCATAGACAGCTGTTGTTTAACAGACAACATCATATACTTTAATCGTGCTCAAATAGCCGCATTTAAAACTACAAAGGTACATAAATACATCACTAACCCATCTTTATATCCTCCTCATCTGAAGAATCTATGTCTTCTTCCATACTCATCTCATCTTCTTCCTCAGGGCTCTTGCCATTTTGTTTCTAAATCAATGCACAGAATGCCATATTTACACCACATATTACACATTAACACAGCACACCATATTTACACCACATATTACACATGAACACAGCAAACCATATTTACACCACATATTACACATGAACACAGCACACCATATATCATATATACACCACATATTACACATGAACACAGCACACCATATATACACCACATATTACACATGAACACAGCACACCATATATACACCACATATTACACATGAACACAGCAAACCATATTTACACCACATATTACACATGAACACAGCACACCATATATACACCACATATTACACATGAACACAGCAAACCATATTTACACCATATTTTACACATGAACACAGCACACCATATTTACACCATATTTTACACATGAACACAGCACACCATATATCATATATACACCACATATTACACATGAACACAGCACACCATATATACACCACATATTACACATGAACACAGCACACCATATATACACCACATATTACACATGAACACAGCAAACCATATTTACACCACATATTACACATGAACACAGCACACCATATATACACCACATATTACACATTAACACAGCAAACCATATTTACACCATATTTTACACATGAACACAGCACACCATATTTACACCATATTTTACACATGAACACAGCACACCATATATCATATATACACCACATATTACACATGAACACAGCAAACCATATTTACACCACATATTACACATGAACACAGCACACCATATATACACCACATATTACACATGAACACAGCACACCATATATACACCACATTTTACACATGAATACAAAAAAAAATACATGTCACTTTTTAAACAAGAATATATCAAATTTAAACAAAAGTATGTTGAATATAACACACATTTTAAACAAGAACATAGAGCTTACAACTTGAAAATATTTATAGTTTTAATTCGCTGCAGTTATTGTATGGCATAAATTAGCCTGACCTAAAATTTCTATCTTACTAAGCTGATGAACTATTGTAAAAATCAACTTAGTCAAAGTCCAGTACTAAGTAATATATGAAAATGTATTGTTTTTTTCCTTTTAACACAAAAACAATTACCAGCTTTTCCCTGCGAACTTTTTTAATTTTGTCATCTAAACTGGATATATTTGACATCCCTTTTGGCTTCAGATTCCAAATGCTAGTGGTCTTAGACACTGGTAACTGAAGAGAAAATAGAAATTTTATAATTTGGTACCTTTGCAGTTGTGGCTGGGTTGAGTTTAAGGATGAATATTTTTAAGTGCTTGATTTTATTGTGAATAATAAAAAAGTGATTAGTTTTTTCTATCCAACAGTTCATGGCAAGTTATTATTTTTAAAATGGTACTGATCAATATCAGGTACAAAAACTAATACAAGCAGGATTGTTACTCACTGTGTCTCCATCCACAAATGAAAATGAAGAATTAAACAAGTTCTGGGTTTTTTTCATTTTCTTCTTCTGTTTCTTTGATACCTAGCAAAACAAATGCACTGCTTAAAGGAGTTATGTTTTAAAAATAAAAAAAAGCGCCAAATAAAAGGTGAGCTAAAAAGTCACACAAAAAGTCAGTTTTTGCTAGGAAAAAGGTCACAAAGGAAAAAAAAAATAGTCACAAAAATGTTCTAAGAAATATTTTGAATGATTTTAGATAATGATAATAGACTTCTAAAAATAGGTGTTTAAGGTTGGTAGTAGTATTGTAATCTCGACTAGTTTTATGGTTAGAAATTAGGGTTAGGCGTATGGTAGGGCCAAGGTTAAGGATTGGGCTACCATTGACACTAGCAAGCCATGTGTGTATTTTAGTAAACTACCAGTAACCTAACACCCCTTTTTAAAGAAGATTCTATTATCCCCATATTTTGATTTACTTGTCGAAAGTTGTAACATTTTGGAGTTTGTAAATGTAGGTGGTGTTTTTTTTTTAATTTGTAGCATTGATAAACTTTAAGTATTATGGTTTATAATAATGTAGGCCTAATAATAATGAAGCGACTACTCTGAAGAAGCTTCTTCCCCAGCCCTCTTCTGGCTGACACAAGGCGACAGAAGACACAAAATGCAATGACTTTAATAGATGCGCAATTGGTTCCACTCAAATGCTATTAATAGCTGCGCAAAGGTCTCAAATTAATGAAATTATTCTTTTATTATAGCTGCGCAATGGGATCTATTTTCCTTTTCAGCCTTTTTCTTCTGACAAAACTATCTGTATTGTGTGTTCGAGCCATTGTGGTCAAGTCGGTAAAGCTCATGGCTGCAGTCTCGAGTTCGAACCCTTGGGCAGATGAGGCTCGTTAGCTGGGGACAGCCACTCTTCTAGGAGAAACAACTCCAAAATCAAACAACGGCTGCATTGTAGTTTGTTCTTGGTTGGATAAAGGCTATGGAAGCAAATCCAAAAAGAAAAGCAGGCTGAAATCAGCAGGTCAGAGGTCATTTTTTCTAAAAAAAAAATTAAGATTTTCATCAAAATGCCTACATTACATTTCTCAGTTTCTGTAAGTCAGTGTAAGTGTAAAAATAACAACACTAGGTCACTAGGCCTATATATAGATCTATATATCTGATATATATAGTGAGATTACCCACAATTTTTTTCAATATTTAGTAAACCATTGGAGACCATTCACAACTGACTCAATCGGATTGAGTCCTGGTGCCACTGGTGGTTTGAACTGGTGCTCACACATCATGGCATGTGTTCAGATTCAGAACTAAAATTTACTAATAATAATAATAAAAATAAAACAAATTACGTTTTATGTAGGCCTTAAAAGAAAATAATTTACCATTCCATCCCCATCGTCTGAACTATCTCCACTGTCTGGTACATTATCTGTATCTTCTATTGTTTTTATAAGCCCTAGATCTTTAAGAAAAATCGACATCTTAGTATTAGTAGTGACTTTTTCATGCGGGCTGCCATAAGCTTAATGTTGGATATTAGAGTTATTCCTCTTTGCACTTCGATCTAATGTTTCACCTTATAATAAATAATAATAAATTCAACAAATCGTGTTTTTTTTTTTTATACACACGTTAATTAGCTCGGTTTTTTTTTAAATGTCCATTCGCCCAACCGAATTATGTCTACACCCCCACTCGAAGGAAATATAATTCATATAATTTTTAACCAGTGTCCGCCCCCCGGAAAAATTTAATCTGCCCCCCCCCTTAAAAAAACATTTTATTCTAGTGCCCTCTCGGTGCGAACGTCATAATACCCTTTATGGTATGTTGTATACCTAAACTCAGCGGCTTAGCTACCGTAAGCACAAATAACATTGAGGCATTTTTTCCTCTTTGAAACGTTAAGACTTTATATTGGCACTTTAAATATTTGTTTTGTAAAAATAATGTTAAAAAGGAAATGGAAATCAACTTTCTTTTCTGCTGTAGAAAATATTTTCAAATCGCTGCAGTCCAACCCGTATTAATAAACTCACGGGTATTCTCGGGCAAACCATTGAGGGAATAAGCCCATAAATAAAGGTGTTAGCTAGACGGCGCTTGACTGACACCTTTAAAAATTACAGACAAAAAAAACATGCTTGTGTGGGATTGTGGTAATGTCATGTAATGTTAAGCTATAACTTGAACTCTGACACTTTTGTGGAATCCGGCACCCGTAGATTTATATGCATCAACTAACCGAGAAATCACCCCCCCCCCCACACACACACACCAAAGAGATGCCAGGAAGAATCTCTGACTAAGGAGAACGTTTCTGCCATTCATTAATGTTTTCGAAGAGCAGCGGCCGGCAGTAAAGTACGATTGGGCGCCCCGAGATTCCCAGCAACTATCATAGCACTTGGTGTCAGTAGATTGGACGTTCTGGAAGTGGAGCAGGAGTACTACTTAATATAGAAGTCAAACTCAACAGGCGCATCAGCCGACGCCCCGGCGGTAGTGTGACCCTGTACACTCCCTCATGAGCACTATGAGGTACGGAGGATAAAATCGGCACTCCGGCAGCAGAGTACGGTTGGGCGCCCAAAGTTTCCCTGCGCCTACCTGAGTACATCCGGGGTCCGTTGATTGGGGTTCATGCAGGGTTAACAGTCAACTGGCACCATTGCGGTCGGGTGACACGCAACGCCCGTATGTGTACTATGCCACTACATTCGTTTTAAATAGCACTTTACAGTACATTCAACGATTAAACGGAACCCACTGTATTGTAATTGGTGACTCGACTGACGCCCTTGACACATAGGCGGTCGAACCAGACGCTTCAGTCGGCGCCCCGGCAGTAAAGTACGATGGGGCGCCCCGAGTTTCCCCTTAGCTACCTGAGCACACGGGGTCCTTTGATTGAGCGTCCTGGATAGGGGTTCAGGGATACAACTTGATTCAATTCTCAAAATGCAACAGATGCGGCTTCTGCCCCTGAGAGCACTAAGCCGTCTGTATTATGAATAAGGTCACGGGGAGCTACTACATTTTATAATTAAACCAAAACCAGGGGTCGAACCCTGTCCCCCCGCGGTAACGTAATCGGTGTTTCCAAAAGCACCCCGCGACGCCCCTAACATCAGTATTACGGAGCGTCATTAGCGTACACCCAAGGCTTTCAAGTTTCATACAGCAAGCTCTGTGACGTGTGAACTACTATGGACGAAACATTAAACACAGGTTCGATAAATAAAGAGCCAATGTTGTCTTCAAAGAAAGAATTCAGTTGTAGAAAACAAGGTATTTCACCTCTAAAAATACACAATTGGTAACGCGTTGATGAAACCCTACTAAAACGTTACGTTCAAAATGGATGACCCGATACTAGATTTAGTGTAGGCCTAAAGTAAACAATGAGAATGGTGGTATAAGGCAAGCTACTTTCAAATAGTATTGGCGTTGGTCACGCACGATATCTCTTACACATGTTACTGTTGTGTTAGGGGTGTTAATAGTAGTGAGCTGCATTTGGGCGACCAAACTGCTAAACAAAGAGTTTTTTCGTGCCTCTAGATCTAGTCCCTGCTTAGTCCATTTAAAATCCTGATAGTTTATTATAAACTTTTTTTTTTATAAATTACAAATCAAAAAGAGATAAAAGATATTAATAATAATGAAATATAGTCTACGTACTTAATAATAATAAGAGAATAATTTCTATAATATAAGTCGAAACAAAATTTGGATATTAAAAGTTGGCGCGGACACCATTAGAGTACTTTCGTTTCTTTGAGGTTTCATTTGTTTAGCTGTTGAGTAGTGGCATAATTGTCTCGAAAGTGATCTAAGTCATAGATAATTAGATTGGTTATTCTATTTAATGATCATTCAGTAATAGATCTAGATCTAATTATTAACAACTTAATAAATATTAGGCTTATTAATTTTTCTACTTAGTAGGCCTATTCATTCTGACATGGGAATTACCGGCCTAACCAAACTGCTGGGAGATTATGCACCGTCTTCAATGAAAGAAAATGAAATAAAGAATTTCTTCGGTAGGTTCTCTACTTTTAGATTCTAGATCTAGTAGATCTAGATTGTTATAACTAAACTCATTTACTAAACTAATAAATAAAGCCTAAAGCAATCAAATTCACAGTACTGCGTTGGTTTGGCGCAGAGGCGTAGCGACCCTTCCCGGCGCCCGGGGACAAACTTTTCGATTTACACCTCCCCTCAAGATTTTGATTTGCACCCCCCCTCAAACTTTCGATTTGCACCCCCCCCCTACTGGTTTGGCGTGGTGGTTGGATTAAGAATATGAATAGGCCCTATTATAAATTATTGTCTTATTGACATTTTATTGTTTTAGGTTAATTTATTCAAACATTTAAAAAATTTGTTTATGTAATGTCAATAGTAATATGTAGGCCTATTGTTCAAATAAATTTTTTTGCATCACACTAGTTTGAGACATTCAAGATAAGACTTTTAAAATAGCAGCGCTTATGGGTCGATCTTGATCTACAAAAATATTTTTTAATAAATTACAATACATGTAAGACAAAAAAACATATGAAAAATGTTTCACAAATTATGTCACCCATTTTACCATTTCACGTTTAATGTAATAAGGGGTAGTGCTATAATATGATCATGGTTATAATATTAGTAAGTTAAGTAAGTCATATAAGTATTTAGTTGACTACCAGTATATCTACCACCCCTTTTTGGTACTATTGGACACTGGTAAATGGTATAATTAACACATCCCCTCTGCTCGATCTATAAGTTATACAAAAGTGATTTAATAACTATTAGTACTATATTACAAATTCAACACACACAAAATTTCAGTTATGCTACACATCCATTCATCAAGGGAATACATTTTTTATATTTAGTTCAAATGTTCAACATTATTCATGATATAGCATAAAACATTTTTCTCAATATAGGAAGGAAGGTGGCAATTGACGCATCCATGAGCATATACCAGTTTCTCATCGCAGTCAGACAAGACGGATCACAGCTAACCAATGAGGAGGGAGAAACCACAAGGTTCTTACCTGCTGTACCTGGTTGTCCTGTGTGTTGAAATGTGTTTTACTGCCTCTCATTATCTTATGTTTTTGTCGAGTGTGTTATTCCACAATAGACTTAAGAAATTCAGCTTTTAAAACTTATATTCCAGTCACTTGATGGGTATGTTCTACAGAACTATACGGATGGTGGAGAATGGCATCAAACCTGTTTATGTTTTTGATGGTAAACCACCAGACATGAAATCAGGGGAGGTGAGCCATTCAGACTTTTAGACAATCATTTTAAACATTTCAATCATTAGCTTTTTCATCTTTTCAATTCTATTTATTGAAGGTTGTTAATTGGAGCCAATATTCAGCACATTAATATTCAATTGACATTTCTCTATTAATAGCTTGCCAAAAGAAAAGAAAAGCGAGATGAGGTCCAAAAGGAGTTGGAAAGGGCAGAAGAAGCAGGTGGGTGTTCAGTGCAGCATTGAAACAGGTTCCCTTTATTCTCATCAGTCCTGGCAGTTGATTTTTTGACTGGTTTTAATTGCTTATCTGTCTGCTGATTGTTATAATTAATTTCTCTATATTATAAATAAATAGATGTAACCATACTTGTATTTTTTCTTTAAAATACTTCGTGCATGTCGGGCTGACTTAAAAGATTCAATTTTGTTGAGTTTATGTACTTATATTATGTTTATGTACTTATATTATGTTTATGTACTTATATTATGTTTATGTACTTATATTATGTTTATGTACTTATATTATGTTTATGTACTTATATTATGTTTATGTACTTATATTATGTTTATGTACTGATTTAATTTGCTTTATTTTTGGCAGGAGATGAAGAAAATGTAGATAAATTCAGTCGTCGATTGGTGAAAGTCACAAGGGAACACAACGATGAATGTAAAAAGTTGTTGCACCTGATGGGCATTCCTTACGTGGAGGTTGGTCCTACAGTTGTTGGTGTAGGGTGGTGCTACAGTTGTTGGTGTGGGGTGGTGCTACAATTGTTGGTGTAGGGTGGTGCTACAGTTGATGGTGTGGTGTGGTCCTATAGTTGATGGTGTGGGGTGGTGCTACAGTTGTTGGTGTAGGGTGGTGCTACAGTTGATGGTGTGGGGTGGTGCTACAGTTGTTGGTGTAGGGTGTCATGGTGTATGAATGAATTATTTTGAAAGTTTACACTTATATTTAGATTGAATTATCAGACATGCCTACACTCCCGCCAAAAGCAGAATTGTTCCGCTTTTTTTTTTTACAAAAAGTGTGTCCTGTTCTGCCAAAAAGTGTGTCCCTGTTTTGGTCCAAAAAAAAACAGAAGTTTGTTCCGTTTTTTTTTTTTTAATTAACAAAGATAAGTAACAAAATCAAATTGAAAAAAGGCAGGGGAAAGGATTATCTCCCTTTGGCGCCTGTTTTCATTTCCTTGTTTACTTACAATATTTACAAGTGCTCTCTAATACTAGATTGTTTTTAGTATTTGCAATTGAATTGTTGATTTAAATTATGCCTTAAATAATATGGAGGGAGAATAATACAATAAAATCTTGACAAACAAGCTAATTTCTAGATCTAGATAATAGGTCTATATAGTTATATACATAGAATTACTGATCTATCTTGCTTGTAAGTTGTAACTAGACCTAGATCTAGTAACTTTTACAACTAACTATTATGAAGAACTTAGTAAGAAGTAACTAGGACTTTTACTAGGTAGATCAAGGTCATAGCTCTTAACTTATATTTTATATTACACACGATGCCTTCAGCATTTGTTGTTCATATAGCCTAGATTGGCCTAGAATATAGCAAGGTAGGAATAATCTAATCCATAAATGTCATGTCATAGCTATGGTTTTATGGGGGGGAGGGGGGAAATCTCAGGTTACTGGTTAACTTTTTTTAAAAATGTAAGCTGACATTAAGCAGTATTTAAATGTAGCCTAGAGACTAGTTATATATGACTAGAAGCCTACTAATGTCATTAGACTAATTTTTAATTACTTATTTTTATTTTTGAGTTAAGAAAGTGGCGTCCGCGCATATGTTCCTCTTTTTGGCTTCAAATTCCTCTTTTTAGGCATGACTGTTCCTAATCTAGGCTGACAGAGGTGGGCATGTCTGAATTATCTTACATTAGACTTAGTAAAATACACAAATTTAGACATGAGAAAGCTAATTTTTGCAGGCTCCGTGCGAGGCTGAAGCGCAGTGTGCAGCGCTGGTCAAGGCTGGAAAAGTGTTTGCGACTGGCACAGAAGACATGGACTCGCTGACCTTTGGGTCCACTGTTGTTCTGCGTCATTTGACTTTCAGTGAAGCAAGGTGTGTAGTCTTTCACATAGAGATTTACAGGAAGCCTCTTTTTTTTACATATTTATTTCTGTGTGTTCTGTTACCTGACAGGGGTGGGGGTCTTACACCTTGGCTAATTAGAAACTTGCATTTCTGTAGGAAATTACCAATCAAAGAATATCAACTGAACAAGATTTTGGAAGAATTGAATCTCACTCAAGATGAGGTCAGTATAGTAAATCCTTTCCAATCTTGTCTGATGTGTTTGTCCTCTATTGCCTGCTGTGTTTGTCCTCTATTGCCTGCTGTGTTTGTCCTCTATTGCCTGCTGTGTTTGTCTTGTATTGCCTGCTGTGTTTGTCCTCTATAGCCTGCTGTGTTTGTCCTCTATTGCCTGCTGTGTTTGTCCTCTATTGCCTGCTGTGTTTGTCCTCTATTGCCTGCTATATTTGTCCTCTATTGCCTGCTGTGTTTGTCCTCTATAGCCTCCTGTATTGGTACTCAGATATTTTACTTTAGCACTTCATTTGTTTGGACAAAAGTCGCTTGCTTATAAATTTTACAAAATATATAATTTGTCTTTTAGTTTATCGATATGTTAGAATTGTTTGCTCATTGAGTTGTTTGAATCGTTAGTTTCTTGACTTGTTAGAATTGTTTGCTCATTGAGTTGTTTGAATCTTTAGTTCATTGACCTGTGCATTCTGCTTGGATGTGACTACTGTGATTCAATCAGAGGCATTGGACCTAAACGAGCTATTGAGTTGATTAAACAGCATAGAAATATTGAAGAAATAATTAAACACCTTGACAAAAAGGTAAGCTGTTTGCCCAGAATGAAACTGACGTGCCAGTGTTGTGAAGTGTCTGTATTACAGATATAGATTTACTAATGTAGTATTTATTGTAGTGTTTTATAAAAAAAAAGGTTTTAGACTAAGAAGTTCTGGTGTTTTATATTTAGCATTGTAGTTCTGACTTTCTTTTAAATTTCAGAAGTATACCATACCTGAAGATTGGATGTACAAAGTAAGAACATTTATTAAAGCTGACATAAGCAAGAAAATAATTTTTTATGAATTTATTGTTGAAATTATTAAATTTCTACCCATTTTTACCTTAGGAAGCACGTAAATTATTTCAACAACCAGAAGTAGCTGATCCTGATCAACTGGAGGTATGTTTTGTTTCATTAATAATTTTTTTTTTTTTTTTTGTAGGTTCTTTTTTTTTTGTAACATATATTTTGTTTGTTTTGTAACTGCTTGTTGAGATGCAAATATTTTTCTTTGTTTTTTCTTGTTTCGACTCAAACATTTTTTTGCAGTTAAAATGGAGTGATCCAGATGAGGAAGGGCTTGTAGAGTTTATGGTCAAGCAAAAAAGCTTTAAGTGAGTTTTTTTTTCCAAAATGTTCGTGTTCCTAAATTTGATTTATTTTCTCAATTATAACATTACATTTATTTTTGGTTTCAGTGAAGAGAGAATCAGAAATGGAGCCAAAAAACTCTTGAAAGCGAGGCAAGGGACAACACAGGGCCGCATGGATTCCTTCTTCTCTGTTGTCACTACATCTAAAACCACCAAGAGAAAGGTAAACTTCACGCTTGCCTTGTCACTATATATAGGGAAAGGTAAACTTCACGCTTGCCTTGTCACTACATATAGGGAAAGGTAAACTTGTCACTACATATAGGGAAAGGTAAACTTCCTTCTTCTCTGTTGTCACTACATCTAAAACCACCAAGAGAAAGGTAAACTTCACGCTTGCCTTGTCACTATATATAGAGAAAGGTAAACTTCACGCTTGCCTTGTCACTATATATAGAGAAAGGTAAACTTCACGCTTGCCTTGTCACTATATATAGAGAAAGGTAAACTTCACACTTGCCTTGTCACTATTTATAGAGAAAGGTAAACTTCACGCTTGCCTTGTCACTATTTATAGAGAAAGGTAAACTTCACGCTTGCCTTGTCACTATTTATAGAGAAAGGTAAACTTCACGCTTGCCTTGTCACTATTTATAGAGAAAGGTAAACTTGTCACTACATATAGAGAAAGGTAAACTTCATGCTTGCCTTGTCACTACATATAGGGAAAGGTAAACTTGTCACTACATATAGGGAAAGGTAAACTTGTCACTACATATAGGGAAAGGTAAACTTGTCACTACATATAGAGAAAGGTAAACTTCACGCTTGTCTTGTCACTACATATAGAGAAAGGTAAACTTCACGCTTGTCTTGTCACTACATATAGGGAAAGGTAAACTTGTCACTACATATAGGGAAAGGTAAACTTGTCACTACATATAGAGAAAGGTAAACTTCACGCTTGTCTTGTCACTACATATAGAGAAAGGTAAACTTCACGCTTGCCTTGTCACTATATATAGAGAAAGGTAAACTTCACGCTTGCCTTGTCACTATTTATAGAGAAAGGTAAACTTCACACTTGCCTTGTCACTATATATAGAGAAAGGTAAACTTCACGCTTGCCTTGTCACTATATATAGAGAAAGGTAAACTTCACGCTTGCCTTGTCACTATTTATAGAGAAAGGTAAACTTCACACTTGCCTTGTCACTATATATAGAGAAAGGTAAACTTCACGCTTGCCTTGTCACTATATATAGAGAAAGGTAAACTTGTCACTACATATAGAGAAAGGTAAACTTCATGCTTGCCTTGTCACTATATATAGAGAAAGGTAAACACTACATATAGAGAAAGGTAAACTTCATGCTTGTCCATGAACTAACATTTCTGTCAACACTGGTTAATTTGTTAGTAACAGTTGCCTTAGTAAACTTGTGTCCATCTGACTCATTTATTTTGATGTATTTTCCATCCCATTTCTTTCTTTCAGGCTGAAGAGCCAAAAGGATCACAAAAGAAGAAAGGCAAACCTAACTTTAAAAAAGCTAAATAGCCACTTGCAGCAATACACAGCCATAGAGTTCGCTAAATTGTAGGCCATTATGAGAATTGACAAAAGTTGGTACCCAGGGAACATGTGCTTTTGCACTTTTTTAATGAATTTTTCTGCTACTGTATGTAGAAACTGGTCTTTGCATTTATTTTACATATGTACTCTTGTTTGACACCACTTAACTGTACACAAAGTTTGACATCACTAAACTGTACACAAAGTTTGACACCACTAAACTGTACACAAAGTTGTTTAAGCTTGCTGCCATTGTTTACAAATAAAACAAATTTTAACTTTTAAGTATGATAACACAAGTAGAAAGATCATGTTGATTTAAAACTTTTACAGTGCAATGTTCTACTGTAAAGTCAGTCGTGTTTATTTGAAGCTTGTACAATGTTCTACTGTAAATACATAAGACATTCATTTTAATTCAATACATAACTCTTGTAAAATAGTTTACCTTTGCGTTCTTCAATTTGATGCTGATTGTTTTATATGATTATAATCATTGCACAGAAAACAAGTTTGATTGTTTTCATATTTGATGTTTAGGATGTCCTTACCATTCTACTGTCTTGTAGAACCCCATATGATAACCCGAATCATACACCTGTGTTCTGGTCGTCCAGTGATATTTGTTGGGAGTTTTGTTTGGCCTGGCTCCCTTCTGCTGATGTAGAGCTGCAAGTTCATGGCCACTCAACCAATCCCCTGCCCGTGCAGTGTCTGGTGGGGAAGTTCTTGTACTGTTTGTTGTAGTTCGCTCCCTTGAGGCACTCTCCCAGCTGGACGTCACACAAACAGGATTTGTAGCGGCACGAGTTCTTGTCAGAGTCTGTCGAGTCAAAAGTTTCTATTTTAATTTTCGTTAAGCTCTAATTGGCCTTAAACGCAATTTAGTTGTTAACTATGCTAGATGGAAAAAACAAACTGCGCCCATGTGTTTTCAATTGGGACAAAACTGGGACGTGACTTAACTGGGAAGTGTAACGTGACTTACTGAACTGGGACGTGTAGCGTGACTTACTGAACTGGGACGTGTAGCGTGACTTACTGAACTGGGAAGTGTAACGTGACTTACTGAACTGGGACGTGTAACGTGACTTACTGGTGCAGGTGCAAGAGTTGCCAGAACAATTGATGGCGTACGCTACAAACGGCAGCCAGTGACAGCCTGTTTGCTTGAAGCATTGGTCATGCCCCTGGCAGCATCTGGGGACACAGGTACGGCTTTAGAGAAGTCGGTCATAACGGGGGGGGGGGCTTTAGAGAAGTCGGTCGTAACTGGGGGGGGGGTCACTTCCGTACAATTACTTAAAATGCACACATAAACGCACTGTGCTCACAGTTCGGGGCGCCGGCGGAACCAGATTCAACTTAGTAAATGACTATAATACCCAATCATAGTCATTCGCACGGTTTAAAACGAACGGAAAGGCCCGGGGCTCAAAATAGCCCCATGTGTGAGTGCCGGAAGACGCCCTGGATTCGATTTAGTTAAGAACTGTAATGACCCTTCTTATCCATAGTCTTTCGCACTGTTTAAAACGAACGTATGCGCCATAGTCAGACATGCCAAAAGTAGGAACAGTTATGCCTAAAAAGAGGAATTTGAAGCCAAAAAGAGGAACATACGCGCGGACGCAACTTTACTAAGTCAAAAAATAAAAAATATTAATTAAAAATTATTTTAATGACATTGGTAGGCTTCTAGTCCTATATAACTAGGATACATTTAAATACTGCTTAATGTCAGCTTACATTTTAAAAAATAAATAAACCAGTAACCCCCCCCCCCCCCCGAATAACAATCATAGCTTTGACATAACATTATTTATTTGATTATTTATGTCTGGCTATGTTCTATGCTATATGAATAACAAATGTTGAAGGCTTCATCATATGTAATATTTAAGTTACGAGCAAAGACCCTTGATCTACCTAGTAAAACTCCTAGTTACTTCTTACTAAGTTCTTCATAATAGTAGTTACTAGTTAAGTTGAACTTACAAGATAGATCAGTATTCACTATTTCAGTATTTTCTAGTAGATCTAGTAGTAGTAGAAATACTACTAACTAGATCTAAATCTAGTATTAGATGATACTGGTATTACTGGTAAATATTGTAAGTAAACTAGGAAATAGAAACATATGCCAAAGGGAGATAATCGCATTTTCCTGATTTTTTTTCAATTTACTTTATTACTTTTGTTACAAGCTTTTATTTAACTCACTTCCTCTGTCGACAGTCTGTCGTCAGTCTAGACGGAAACGCAGGAGTGAAAATTCGGACAGTTCTACTTGACCGACACGATTCACAGTTGGCACGTGGGTCAAGACATGAAGACAATGCAATCTGAAACTAAATTTGACTTAATTGGATGCCTAATTGATTTTTTATGAATTAATTAAAATTTGGACCGAATTAGTAGGCATGTCTAGCCAACCACACCACACGCGTCATCAATAGCTGCGCCATCACGACCACGTAATGGCTGCGTTCAAAAACCATTGCGCGCCTACTGAACGTGATATTCAGTAGGCGCGCAATGGTTTTTAGTCATGTAACTCTATTGTAGATAAAACATGTAAAGTACTGAAAAAAAAAATTCATAAAAAACGTTTTAATAACAAGCTTTTATGTAATGATGCACTAAAAAGTAGAAAATAAATTATAGACTACTATTTAAATAACTATACAGAAAAGCGTGGGTGTCTTCCTTAACATTAGTAAAGGTATCCAATAGATACTAAAGTGACCCACGCTTTTCTTTATAGTTATTTAAATAGTAGTCTATAATTTATTTTCTACTTTTTAGTGCATCATTACATAAAAGCTTGTTATTAAAACGTTTTTTATGAATTTTTAAAAAAAAAAATTTTCAAAAAAAATCGGAAATAACTGAGTCAATTTCGGAATGACGGAACAAATGACTTTTTTAGGTGAAAAAGCGGGACGGTTCCGATTTTGGCGGGACGGTAGGCATGTCTGCATAGTGCTCACGGGAAGGCCCGGGGCACCAAATCGAACCCTGCTGGGGCTCGGCAGACGTGCCTGATTCAATTTAGTAAACGACTATAATACCCCTAGCTTGTCCGCAAACCGAAAAATAGAAGTAAACATAGACGACATTCAGTTTAGGAGCGGATTCTAAACTGTTATTGATTAATAATAATAATTAGTAAACAAAACAGTACGTTCAGTGTATAAAATAAATAAAAGGCTGTATTTAAAATATCCGTGTTTTACATACCACATTGCACTTCATCCATCCATGCTTATTATATAATTTTTTTTCTAACACTAAAACAAACTAATGAAAAGTATTTTTCCTCTCCGTTTTGTTAAAGGGAAGTAATTTTTGTGTGTGATATGTCAAGGGATGTAATTGGCAATAAAGGAACAAAGTGAATTATTTTAAATATAAACTTTAATTTTTTTTGTGAAGGATGATATATTTTCATGACATTAATTAAAATGTTGAGTTTGGAAAATGAAACTTGTTTTACAAAACCATCCACATTATTTTATTATCATTCATTTAGATAATAAACGCTGTAAGAATATTACACTATGGCGATCAAGTCGAGTTTTTTACTATATGTCTCTAATGCCAAGGGTCCGTCCGTTGTCACATACATACATAAAGAGCCACAGAATCCATTTTAGCTTTATACCATAGGTTAGATCAGTTTCTTCCAGGCATCTCTTGGAGGGAACACCCCCCCCCCCCCCCGAACGAAGTGAAATTTACATAGAAAATATGTACTTTTAACAGTGTCCGCCCCCCCCCCCCCCGGAGAAAAAAAGTCTGGAAGAAACACTGGGTAAGATATGTACCTGTCAGCCTCATCGACCGGGATGTGCCCAGCACTCCTGAGCCCACAAAAGCAGCCATACTTGTTGTACTTGAGACAGCTCCGCCCCGTGTGTTTCCATATGACGTAACACAACTGAATGGCGTTCCTCTTCTCAATGTGATGGGTGACGTCACCAAAACTGCAGCGAATGCCTGTGGCCAAGACATAGAAAACGCTTGAGTTCACCTAACCCGGTGCGATGTTTTGCAGTTCGGTTTTAAAAGGCGCTCTCACCAAAAGTCGTTAGAAAGTTCCCCCACCTCTATCTACACCTCCCCCACCTCTATCTACACCTTCCCCACAAATCCAGCTAAAAAGTGTTGTGTGTTGTAATTGTCAACCACCACTACCCACCCACCTCTATTTAGCACATATGACATGCCTATGCCTGACGACATTTAAGGGCACCCCCCCCCCCCCCACACACACCCAACAACTGAAACAAGAGAGACCGTTTGTAGCAGACGTGTGCCTACCTGCAGCTAACAGCAGCAATAAAACATGTCCACTTGTAACCGCCATTTTATCTGGGTCATGTGCTGAAACAGAGCTCAATGATTATTGAGGTGTTAATTGATTTGCACGTGTTAATTAAGAACGGTTATCACGCCGTTAAAATGGAGGGCTAAAGAGCAGAAACTTCTAGAAATCTTACGCATGCCACACACGTTTAGTTTAGAAAGTGATATTTACCAAAGCCAGTTCAAGTTTTCTCCTTTGTATTCAGCGAGCATATGATATTGTTTTTATTTTCATTTTATTAGTTAATATTTTTGTTAATAGGCACCTTTCTTTGTAATTAACACCTGTATTAATATCATTACTAATTAACATTTCGCATCTAACGGCTATTTGTATTGAGTAAAGATCCTTGTTTGACAGCCTTTTAGAAGAATAAACCGGGAGTGATCTCCCCTAAACTTTCTCGAATATTCTTATATAACTTGGAATCAGAGTTTCTTCCAGGCATCTCTTCGGGGGGGGGGGGGGGGGCAAATTTTTACCGCCCCCCCCCCCCCCCGAACGAAATGAAATTTATATAATTTATATAGAAAATATATACTTTTAACAGTGTCCGCCCTACCCCCGAAGAAAGTTTACCGCCCCCCCCGAAGATTTCAAGTGCCCCCCCCCCCCCCGGAGAAAAAAGTCTGGAAGAAACACTGCTTGGAATGTAGACATGATTTTTAATTACTTAAACTTTTAAAAATAGAATAGAATCTCATAGAAAAAAGAATTGCGTACCAAGCGAACGCCAAAACAAAATGTGCATAATAGTGCGGAATATTATTAGTACTTTATAAATTTACATGCGTTTTTGAGAAATCGGGAATAGCGTAAATTAGTACTTCCGTTCAACGGAAATTACTCAAAATTAGACAGAAGGTAGAGAATTAGATCTTTTACTTACATGTGAAATTTCATTTATCTATCTGAAATAGTACTCAAGTAATAGGCTTTTGAAAAATTCAAAGTAGGAAAAGTACCACTTCCGGTTATCGGAAATCGCTCAAAAGTTGATACGGATCTACGATTTTGATAAAATACTTATATATGAAATTTCATCAACCTAGCTGTAACGGTACTCAAGTAATCGTGTTTACACACAGACAGACAGACATACGGACAAGATTGCAAAATTATGTTTTTCCGTATCAGTGAGGTGTAAAACGTCGAGATTTGAAAAAATCTCGATTTTTTTTTGCACGATTACAATACTTTCTCTGTACTTAGTATATACGAGAAAGTAAAAAGTTGACGTTTGCTTTGCCAGAGGTTCCATGACACATTATGACCAGAGGCGTAGCGTCACATTCCGGCGCCCGGGGCGAACTATCAATTTTTCGCCCCCCCCCTTCCATTTATATACAGGCTATATATAGTTATTCATGCTGGTCCTACCCATTTTGGCGCCCCATCTGGGTCGGCGCCCGGGGCGGCCGCCCCACCCGCCCTCCCCTAGCTACGCCTCTGATTATGACGTCACGTTTCTGTTAACTTCCTGCCGTTAGGATTTTAAATGAAATTTCATCAAGAAATATTTAATCACCGAGAAATCAATTATCTTAACAGAGAAATCAAAACATGCTAAGTTGTCTAGCAATTTCCCTTACGGGACTAATATTGGATACAACTTGTAATGTTATTGTTAAAGTCTTGAAAAACCGATTGACATTACAACATTATTACCATTTTAACTAATTACACCGATTCATATTAAATAAATTCACTGGACTAATTAAACTCGAGATTCACTGGACTAATTAAACTGGTAGATCCACTGGACTAATTAAACTCGTAGATTTAAGGGGACGGATGCTACTGCTGCACCTTAGCGCAGAAGGCTTTCTCGTTCGTTCTCTTAACATTCTTGTTACAGAAATTTAATTTAAAAAATCTTCTAAAATTTTCTAAAAAATTATTGAAGTTAGATGGTAAACATCTTTTCAAGGGGGGAGGGGGGGGGGGGGGGGGAAATAGATGTGTCTCAGAATTTGCATTCAACCACAAGTCAGTCTCATACAAAACACGTCTATACAACTGACCAGAGTCATGTCTATACAACTGACCAGAGTCATGTCTATACAACTGACCAGAGAGTCATGTCTATACAACTGACCAGAGAGTCATGTCTATACAACTGACCAGAGAGTCATGTCTATACAACTGACCAGAGAGTCATGTCTATACAACTGACCAGAGAGTCATGTCTATACAACTGACCAGAGAGTCATGTCTATACAACTGACCAGAGAGTCATGTCTATACAACTGACCAGAGAGTCATGTCTATACAACTGACCAGAGAGTCATGTCTATACAACTGACCAGAGAGTCATGTCTATACAACTGACCAGAGAGTCATGTCTATACAACTGACCAGAGAGTCATGTCTATACAACTGACCAGAGAGTCATGTCTATACAACTGACCAGAGAGTCATGTCTATACAACTGACCAGAGAGTCATGTCTATACAACTGACCAGAGAGTCATGTCTATACAACTGACCAGAGAGTCATGTCTATACAACTGACCAGAGAGTCATGTCTATACAACTGACCAGAGAGTCATGTCTATACAACTGACCAGAGAGTCATGTCTATACAACTGACCAGAGAGTCATGTCTATACAACTGACCAGAGAGTCATGTCTATACAACTGACCAGAGAGTCATGTCTATACAACTGACCAGAGAGTCATGTCTATACAACTGACCAGAGAGTCATGTCTATACAACTGACCAGAGAGTCATGTCTATACAACTGACCAGAGAGTCATGTCTATACAACTGACCAGAGAGTCATGTCTATACAACTGACCAGAGAGTCATGTCTATACAACTGACCAGAGAGTCATGTCTATACAACTGACCAGAGAGTCATGTCTATACAACTGACCAGAGAGTCATGTCTATACAACTGACCAGAGAGTCATGTCTATACAACTGACCAGAGAGTCATGTCTATACAACTGACCAGAGAGTCATGTCTATACAACTGACCAGAGAGTCATGTCTATACAACTGACCAGAGAGTCATGTCTATACAACTGACCAGAGAGTCATGTCTATACAACTGACCAGAGAGTCATGTCTATACAACTGACCAGAGAGTCATGTCTATACAACTGACCAGAGAGTCATGTCTATACAACTGACCAGAGAGTCATGTCTATACAACTGACCAGAGAGTCATGTCTATACAACTGACCAGAGAGTCATGTCTATACAACTGACCAGAGAGTCATGTCTATACAACTGACCAGAGAGTCATGTCTATACAACTGACCAGAGAGTCATGTCTATACAACAGACCAGAGAGT